TTACGGTCTAAAAGTATCTTTTTAATACCTAGTTTAGCTAATAAATTAATTAGGTTAAGGTAATATAGGCAGGTAAGAGGTTCACACCGAATTTTAGAAGTTAAAGCTGAAAGTATAGCGTTAAAGAGGTTATGTTCCTACGGAATATTACGTTATCCAGGTTTGACTGCGGAGCAGCGGAGATGGCTGCCGTCGCTCGACCAAAGCAGGGGCCCGTTCTCGATAATGACCACTCTATCACCTCTGTTGAAATTGTCATTGCCGCCCAACACACTGCTGAACACACTTCTGTCAATCACCTCGCTCAAGCCGAGGGACAACTGAACAAGAAAGCGGTCAGATCATCTCATCAGCCTTCCCTCAACTCGTACCCCAAAACGCACTACGCCATCTAGCCTGCTTCCTGCTTCCTCCCTCCCTCACCTGGGAAAAAAAAATAGGACCAACTTCCTCCATCCGGAAAATGTAGAGCGTGTGCGGTAAGTAGTCCGCCAATCGCAGCACCACCAAACACCTCCATTTCCCGCCCCGATCCCTGTCGACACTTTCAACAAGTACCTGTCACATAATTCCCGTCCACGAGTGAAAACGTGTGACCGACACATGTACACACATGCCGCCGCATCGGCACTCATCTTCCACTATTCATTCTCCCTCCACTACGCCCATTGTCTCGGTAGCTTCTTCCCTCCTCCCAATGGCAACTCCGAAACTCGGCAGCTTCTTAGCCGATAGAGTTCAGCCTGGATCCAAACTTCCTTCTTGTTCGTCGTCTCAAAACGAACAATGCTGAAAGTCTAAAATATTTCCCTTCAAGCACCGACTTCCATCGGAAGGAAGAGGCTCGGGAGGCTTGCTGCGTTGGAATTATTGGAAACACGATGGATTTGCCGGTCAGGCGTCCCATCGACCAAGACCTCGCTTCTTCTTTGTCATAACATCACATCAATTTCAGGAGGTCCTCCTGCGAAGAAATACCACATTGAGCCATCATGTGTAATGATTTGGAAAAGACAGGTGCTTTGGTCGAGGTCCTTAGACCTCATGAAATGCCTCTTCATTCGGTTTCCTATCTACCTGCTAGCCGCATTGTTTGTGAGCTGCCCGTTCTGCTGCTGCCACCGCACCAGTAAGTTATTATTACGGGTCTGTCGTCGCTGCAAGTACCCTCTCCCTGTGACCGTTCATTCCCACTGTTTTCTGGCCTTTCTTCGTTTTGTAAGTATCCCATTTCCAATTAGCCACATGCTCACCTTTCGATGCTGCTTGCCTCGACGCTGCCCTGAGCTGTGCACGACTGGGAGGAACGGGTACATCCCTTGACAGAGGCACAGTCGTAATGTGTTCAACGGCGGCCGGCGTGGAGGCCTGTCGAGGTCATGCGACCTGCCTCACCAATATCGTTCAGCAAGTTCGTTCGCAGAGCCGCTACTGTTAGTTGTGGAGGGAGCACGGAACGTCACCCAAGATGTCACACAATCGTCCGTCGTGAACCTTTCAGCCCGTCGAGCCGTTTGGTGTGGCGATACCGTTCGTCTTCGCTTCTACGTTTGGAACGAGCCCAGATTGGCGGCGCTTAGCTGGGTCCTGGTTCTCCTGTGCAAGCAAGCAGAAAATGTCAGCTTTCTCGGTTGGTGAAGCTTACCCATCATTGGGGCGTAGTAATATCATCTTTTGTGCTCGCTCGCTACTCACGTCGAAGCCTGCATTCGAGAGGCTGCGCTTCTTATGTGTGGGATTGGCGTCGGGTGCAGGCGTCGCTTCCTTGGCCTTCTTGGTCTTCTTCTTGATAGGCCTCGTCTCGCCATCAACGAAGACGTCCTTGGGAAGATCGTAGCTGTTGCGTTGCGGTCAGCCCAAGACGTGATACCACACCACAAGGCATGACTTACTTTCGGACGTGCTTGATGCGAATCGAGTGCGTGTCCATGTCATACTTGTCCCAGTCAAGGCAGTTCGATGTGAACTCCGAAATTGGGTGCGAAATGTCCAGATTGTTCTTGCCTGGTGCACGAATTAGCATTCATTCAACTGGCAAACTCAACAAGATCTCCCATCACCTTTGTGGAGCTCTATTCCCAGGTAGTACCGAGTCGTCCAGATCTTCTGCGCGCCGTCCTTCTTGGAGTCCGTGTTGGTCTTTTCCGCAGCGTCGGCAATCGCATCGGCATCGCCTTGAGCTGCGGCTGCGGCTTTCGGATCCGCAGACACGTCGATAGCTTTCGTGTCTTCGATCTGGCAGACGAGACTACCGTCAAGCGTCTGTTGCTGTTCGGCGTCGTTCTTGCATTCGTGGACGCTCTCGAAGCCTTTGTAGTAGGGATGGACCAGCTTCACGGAATCGGCGTCTGAGTTTTCGATACCCTGGATGAGGCGTCGAAGCCGAGAAGACACAAGACCACTCCACGCCTGCTGAGCCTCCTTCGTCATGGACGCGGTGATCACACAAATGTAGTGCTTGTAATCCTCTGTGAAGAACGTGTGCCTTGTGACAAGGTCTTTCCACTGCTTCTTGCCGCTGTAGATGTCATTGGTGACATCGAAACCTCGCTTCAGCTCTTTGATGATCACGGCCTTCGTAGACCTCTGTACGCTGACCGTGGAGTTCATGCAAGGATACGCTGGAGTAATGACCGGCATGACGTGGAATCGATCACCTTTGTAGATGTTTGGGTCCCACTCTCGCTCTTGAAGGAACGAAACTGTCTCTCTGGCTTGGAGAGTGACAGGTTGAGGCCAGCTCCAATTACTCATGACAAAGAAGAACTTGTTGACGATGACAGGTGCAGCTGCCTTGGGATAGAGTTGGCATACTCTGGCAACGAGCATGGCCCAAGCAACACCACCTGGAAAGCCATAGTTTGCACCATACACGCCACGTCGGTTGGCCCAAAGCTTGATGGCACGCAGTGCAACACGGAAGGTTCTGCTTTGAGGCACCGATGACAGTATTCGGTCTGTGACTCGGGTGCCGTTCACGCAGCGCATGTCGGTTTCATCCAATCCTCGCAGCAACTTGTTGTCTGTCAACTCGAGCATCTTAGGCACTGATGAGACTTGCAAGTTGGAGAAGATAAGATCGATCGGCACTCCATCCATCTCGAGCTTGATGATGGGAACGCTGATTCCAGGAACAGCAACCAATTCGGTGAGCTCCTCTGCCGGCGTGTGCTTGCGAATGAGATCGGGCATATATTCGAAGAAGTCGTCTCTCGTCACGTGTTTTGGCGCCACCATCAGAGTATCGATATCCGACCCAGGCCCATGTACACCAAGGCGAAAACTTCCATATGTGAAGACCTTGCCGCCCGCCTCTTTCAAGATCTCCGCTGGGAGTCCTTTCTTTTTGCCTACCATCTGGACCAGGTGCGAGAGGAGACGATTGAGCTTCTTAAGGACATCGTTCCTGCGATGCTGTCAGTATCACAGTTCAAGGCGCACGCTTTGTAGTCACAAACCTCTTTCCGGTGGCCTCGGGCGACTCGAAGTTGTTTTGCGTCTTGAGTTCGGCCATGAGGGCCTCGCTCAGTTTGATGTCGAGATCGGTCGGAGGATCTGTGGACAGAGGCGCCGAGACACCCAAGTGCCCTCCATTCTCAGACATGGCGGAAGTGCGATGGTGGAACGATGGAACCAGGCGGCACGGCAGCGGTTGGCCAGCAGATCATCAGATCACGCAGCCAAACAAGTAGGTGTGGTGAAGGCGCTCACGGTCGCGGCGACAGCGACAAGGGAAGAATGGAAAACTGTCAGAGGTGCTGCGGCATGTCCAGGGTCTTCGCGACAGCACCTGTGACGCGGTGGATGAGGCAGGCGAGATGGCAGGTCACAAAGAGCGTCGTGATAGTCGGAAGAGAGGTCGGCACGCTAGTCTTTCGGCACGCCCCGAATTCCGGCAAAGCACAGATCACGAGTTTTCGCGCCGCACGTGGCACTTTCCTTCCATTTAACTTCACTTCGCGTTCTCACACTTCTTCAAGTACACGCTCTTCACTAATTGTCGGCAAAGAAGTCCCTTAGCTGCTCATCAAGCCATTTCACATCCTCCTTGCTGTCACCAGGTCCTGGAAGCGTCGTCAACTACGTCCACACGCGACTCGAACGACTTTCAACTCACCTCCAGCCCAATGGCCCCAAATCGAAGGAAACGCAAGGCACTTCCCGATACCAGGTTTCATATGCGCAACTTCAATCTCTGAGTCCTCGGGAGCTTGAAAGTGCATCAGTTTGCGTCTCATTGACTTGCCCCTGAGTCGCACTCACGGAAATAGAGATCGGTCTGCGCAGGAAGCACAAGAGCCTTGGCCTTAATCCCCTTCATTGCAGAGTCGAAGTCACCTGGGTTGGATCAGTTTGCGACTTTGCATACAGTCGGTCGGCCGGCCACTAACCGTTGTATGGCTCCTGGGCCGAACAATCGCCCGCTTGCCAGGTATACAGCATAGCAACCATGTTGTCCGGATCTACGCAATGTTAGCAGGATGACATTTGCAGGCCAGGTTTAAGCAACCTTTGGACAGCGCCCAAGCTTCCCAGAAGTTGACCATCTTTCACGAACAAGGTCAGCCATCGCACGACACAGTCTGCTTTCGTGCTTTACGCACAAAGTCTTCGATATCCTTGAAGCCCAACACAGACTCGTAGAGTCTCTCACGATAGAAAGCCTGACTGAAGCCCCATCCAGAGTAGACGCGGCCGAGGGCTTTCAATCCAGTGCTTCGCTCTTCCTCAGACCAGGCACGATACGCCTCTGGCTTGGCCTCGCCTTTGCAGACTCCTCCAGAGACTGCACCCTTTCCCGCGAGTACTGCAGACTTGACTCCTTCCAGCATCGATTGGTTGTGCAAGGCCGTTTTTGCGGCGCCACAGAATGGCACGATCAGGTCCATAAAGTCGGGATCTATTCAACCTTTAGCGAGGAGGAGAGGTGTCGGCGGTGGTCAACATACATTGGGTGGCCCACTGGAAAGTTTGCCCAGCTCCCATACTCCACCCAAGGACTGCTCGCGCATGCTTCACGCCGAGCTTCTTCGTGACTAGCTCATACTGCGCCCTGACATTGTCGTAGAAGAGAACCTCTGGCCATGGTCTGATATCTGGTCTGTTACTCGGGGAGCTCGACTGTGAGTTGCCGAACAGTGCCGTAATGATGATGAAATATTTCTCCGGATTCAACGTCTTGTCCTTGCCAATCAACCATTCATTGTCAGAGATCAAGCCGGAATACCACGAAGGATAGATGACGGCTGGATTGGAAGGCTGCCCAAATGTCTTGTAGGCTATTTTCGCATTGGGAATAGCTCCTCCATTCTTGAGCTTGAAGTCGCCCAAGTCGTACGTCTCGTAATCTCCAGACATGATGTCGATCCTCTTCTGCAGATGAATATCTAATGAGAGGAGCTGCTTTGGCGAAAACGAATGTCCTGGTTCAGAACGTTCAGGATGAAACCGCCCTCTTATCTACTTCTATCTGGCGCCCTTTCCCCAAGCATTACCTTGCCCCGCCTTGCTTGTAAATATCACAGTGGGGTGTTCAACTCTCGTCTCTCCAGCATCCACTTTCTATTCCTGAACAACAACGTTGCTTGCAAGAGAACCAATGGCAATCACAATGTGAACAATAGAGACTACAACCAGAGCACGACTTACTGCAAGAGACAATGTCGATGACCAACCACACATCCGAGAAATTTCCGCGAAGCTGGATCTCGTTGCGAGGACGAACGGAGCTCCAGCTTTTGGAGACAGCTTCTGATGATGACTGATTAGGAGCAGAGCTCTACAGCAGGTCTAGCGTGGAGGCGAGAAGAATGTGAGGCTATGACGTGCCGATGCCAATGGCCGAAGTAGCCAAACAGGGCAAACGTTCAATGTGACCTTAATAATCATCAAGAAGGGCTCACTTCTTTGACATTGAGATCCCGTTCTTGCCGCTCAAACCCGCCAACAATCAGGATGCTCCTGCTTCTCCCGAACCTCACCCTACTCAAACTCCTCTCCAGTCCTCCAAAACCACCACCACAACCATGGCGTCAACCATCAGCAAACCCCTCCACGAACAAATGATGGACAATGAAAGATCCATCCAACGCAACCCGCACGGCAATTTCAAAGAAGTCGAAGCCAGCCGTCCAGACTGGGACGGCGAGAAGAAATTCCACTTCACCAAGACCAAGAACCCCTCATGGAAACCCGGCGACGGCGCCAACGACGGTGGCGAGAGCCTCAAAAAGGAGCACATCAGCATCAACCCGTATGAAGACGGTCGACCGTCCACGTTCAACTACAAACTGCTCATCAGCGCGATCATCCCGCGACCTATCGGTTTCCTGAGCACGCGGTCGAAAGACGGGAGTAGTTCAAATCTGGCACCTTTCAGCTATACGCAGGTGATCAACCACGATCCACCGGTGTTCATCGTGGGGTACGCGGGGGGTTTCGACAAGGCGAAGGACAGTCTGAAGAATTTGATGGAGACGGGGGAGTGTGTGATTAATATCATCAGCGAGCATTATCTGGAGGCGGCGAATGCTACGTCGGTCAACGCGCCGTATGGGGTTTCGGAGTGGGCGTTGACGGGGCTGACGCCGGCTGCTTGTGAGAATGTCAAGGCGAGTCGGGTTAAGGAGGCGGTGTTTAGTGTTGAGGGGAAGCTTATGGAGACGAAGGAGTTTGAGAGTAGAGCGACGCCTGGGAAGAAGACTGGTGTGTTGGCTATCATTGAGGGGGTGAGGTTCTGGGCGAGGGAGGATGCGATTAATAAGGACAAGAATTTGATTGATCCTGAGGTGGGTCCCTTTCCCAGGTTATGAAGGTCTTGCTGATATGAGATAGATCCTCCGCCCAATGTCCCGTCTCGGAGGCATCACCTACGGCCGCTTGATGGAAGGCATCGAGCTCCCACGGCCGGACTGGGACGAACTCAAGAAAGAAGCCGAGCCCAAAGGCCTAGTCAAGCCCAAGGCCGACGGACAATGAAGCGCCGCCAGCCACTGAGACAAAAAGGCATGCGGTAAGGAGTCGACACAGATTCTAGAGCTTAGATTCCCTAGATCCACAAGATCCTCCCAAGAAGCTTTCGAGATATGCTAGTTCTTCTCTGTCGTTCACGTAGTCGACCACTCGATCGAGCCGTCCTTCGTCCCATGCGATGCCGTGCCAGAGCAGGATGCCGATGGTGCGAGAGAGGATCACGGCTTTCCATATGTCCTGGTCTCTCAGCTCAGGGATCTCAGCCCTCAGCCTATCCCAGAACGCATCACGAAGCTCATTCGCCCGGTCATAGTATACGAACCTCTGTCGTTCGTGGTCGAAACCACCAAGCAGATGCTCGATCCCATACAACGACATCCCAAAGGGCAAATATTCAGCCTCAGCCCAGTCGACCAAGCCAGTAAGTCTCCAGCTTCCTCGATCGACCATGATATTACTCGGCAGCAGATCCCCATGGTTCAGCACAACCGGTAAACAATCCAGTAGACCCGAATCGAATCCTCTCCTGACACTCCTCGCTCTCAACCGTAACCACCTCCTAGGAAGTCCCCCCTCAAGCAAAACAAGCCTCTCCCTAATCGAAGCACCCACCTTTCCCTTCCCCCTAACCCTCCCATACCCATCCCCCTTCCTCCAACTCCTCATAAAGAAACCCGCCAAATCTCCCATCAAGCCCCTCAACCTCCCCAACTCCCCTTCACCCAATTCACTCCCACAAGGCTGCACTCCCCCAAACGCTACCCCCTTCACCCTCGACATCCCACAGACCTGCAACCGCACATCCTCCCCAACACTGACGTCCTCAAACCACAACATCTCCGGGACCAACTCTCCCCATAAATTCCTTACATCCCTCACAATGCCCTCGTGGATTTTATGCGCGAGTAATCGGAACTGTACGACCACCACCTCTCCACCCCCTTCCCCTCCCCTATCTCTCTTCCGCACAAGAACAGTATAACTACACCCACCCTGCCCCCTCACCCCCTCAAACCCCCAACCAGGATACCTCCTCCTCACAACCCCCAGACAACGCTCAACATCCGCAGCCTTGAGCCCGTTGCGGCGAAAGAAACCCTCGTCTAAGTCGAAGGAGGCGTTCTTCGTAGCGAGCGGCATATAGCAAGTCAAGTCAAGTCAAGTCATCAACCCAACAAAAGTAAGTATAGCCTCAAACGTGTGATTGTAATCTTATCGGCTGAGGATGCATTGTGTCGGAGCTGTGTGCCGCGTCAGTGACATGCATCACTGCAACCACCACGAGCACACACACACACGCATGCATGGTCGTTAGCCGTGAGAGGGGTTCAAGCATGCAAGCAAGCTGTAATGAGCAGAACTCGAAACGACCGAATCAAGAGCTACTTGTGCTTGCACACTGATACGTGACAACGACTGCAGCAATGCCCCCACGCTCTCTGCAAACGATTCATTCTTGGATTGATTGATTGATCCTCGCATGCATGTACTTCTAAATGCCCAGTCTTGTTGTCCTTCTCCATTCTCCGCTTTTTACGTGAGCGAACTCTGGGCACAACATGCACATGCACATATCAAAAGTGTGTGAGAGAGTAGTAGGAACGAAGTGCGACACCGTAGCGCCGAACCAAGATCATCAATCCATCCCGCTTTCACATGCACCTGCACGGCAATGCGTTGGTGAAATGCCGGTTCTCGCACCTGATCCATCCCGCCCAACCATCCAACCAAAAGGGTATCGGTAAAAAAGATGCTCGCCACAATTCTGGTTATGTTTTTGGAGTCTCATCGTTGCCTTTGATGCAGCTGCGCTAGATTCTTCGTCATCAACTTGCCTCGCTTGTCCCGGTGTAATACCTGTAGCCACCACAGCCCCACAAATTCGCTGAGTGAGATTTCGCGTAACTGTGGTAGTGTCACAGTGCATGACGTTTGGCGTATCGTCGGTGACCCGTCCGTCGCCAAAAGGGACTATTGCTGCAGTTCAGCGTGATCCTTCGCATACACCTCGGGCCCAATGTCCCGGTGCTAAAAATAAAAATTCCCTCGTACCGCCGAGTGATCGTCAGCTCAAGTGCTGAACACGGGGGCTTTGACCAGCACCGATCGACCTCGCACAGAAACGCCGATGCCAGCAGCCATGCGCACTCGAGGCGGTACGTCTTCTTTCATGCCTTGCGAGCTTTCGGGCCTGCCCAGACTGCTTGAGCTCCCAGCGGCGCCGGCATGTTTGCCTTGCGCCTTGCTTTTGCCGCCTGTGCCTGTCAATGCGCTCAGCATGCTCCTTTTCTTAGATGGCTGGTCGGTGTTACTGTTCTCAGTCATGTCCGTGACATCGCTCGTGGCGCTCTTCAGCGATACTCGATCTGCTGCATCGTCCGCAACGGACGTGATGAGCTGAGGTATGCCAGACTCCACTTTCATCTGGTCGGGCATGATGCTGTAGCCGGGCATAAAGTATTCAATGACCACGTCTCGGCTTTCGAGCGGTAGATGGATAGCGATGCTCACGACCAACTCAATGATCATGTGCACACCGCCTTCCAAATCTGAGGGCGGCGGGTCTTGCAAGTGTAGTGCAAGTGCGCTGACAAGGCCGTCTTTGAGCGTATCGGTGAGCTTTTGTCGGTTGTCGGGGCATGCTGGTGATCGTAGTGCTTCTCCCAGTCCCTCGAGCGTTGCCAATCGCCAGTTCACGACCTTGGAAATCAGGTACTCCTCTTCCTCTGCAGTCTGCGAGATGGGTGCAGACTTTCGAATGTTTCTCTGAATGGTCTTGAGCTGCGACGACAGCGACGGTTCCAGGTCAGGGTGAAAGAATTTGTCGAATACTTCTTCCACCAACCAGCATGATATGAATGCACGACCGGCTGCTGTCATCTCTTGCTTGCCAGTGGCAACCGCATCCCTGTTGACAGAATTGACCAACCACTGCGGAATGCTCTTCCAGCTCTTTCGAATGCTGAACGCGAGTTGTGCGATGAGGCCGTCGAGGCGATTGAATCTGGTGGTATACTCGCTGTCGTCGAGGGATGTTCGTGACTGTGACAGGCGTTGATGTGCAAGGCTGTTCTGGAGCTGCTTGACTTGATCTTCTTTTTCAAAGTAGTACTTCTTTACCTTGGTGTATTTCTCGCCTGTGGAATGGTCAGCAAACAGGAGGAGCAGGCCACATGTAGATAGCCTTACGAAGTTCTTTGTGATCCTTGATTAACTGCGCGATATCTTCATCTGACATCTCGTCGCTAAGCTGCGACGGCTGCGGTGTGGCTCGACCCACATCTTGCGGCGGCTGTGATTGTGGTGGTTGCTGCGTTGGCTGTCCAGCGTTGCTCTTGAAGGCTTGACCTTGCGGTACGACCGAGGCGTTGAAGGCAGGAGCCTGGCCGCCTTGCGTCGAGTGTGAGCCCTCGCGTGAACTTATGCCGTTGTGTACGCTCTGTCGGTTGTTGCCATTGGCAGACCGTGTCGCCTTGGGAAGCTGCTGAGAGCCATTGTTCGACATGGATGTGTCGTCGGCTTGCTGCTGCGAGAAGCTGCGCGATGAGGCCAGCGGCGGGCGGGCAGCTGGGTCGTGGGCAAAGTGCGAGTGAGGGTCGGGCGGCGAGTATTGAGACGCATGTGATTGTGAGTCCGTGGGGGGATATTGCTGAGTTCTTGAGGGGTTGGTGGCAGACGGCGTCTGGATAGCGAGGCCCACATTCGCCGTATTCCCCGGCGTCACTCGGGGGGCCTGATAGCCGCCGCTCTGCTGTTGTGCAGGATGCGGCTGAGACGGGTGGTGCAGGGGCTGTTGTGGCTGTGCATCCGCGCCTGATTGATGATATTGCGCAGCAGGAGGAGCATTGTAGATGGTCTGGTCGCTGCTGCCGCTACTTATAGACGCAGCTGCATTGCTGGGCGGGCTCAAGACGCCCTGCACGCCTTGACGTTGCTCGCGGAAGCCCTGCTCGGTATTCAACCGCTGCAGCCTTCGCTGCGACCAGCGATCCAGGGTTACGTGCGGTCCGGAGTCGGACGACGACTTTCCAGGTGTGTTTGCTGCGTGATGCGCGGCGCTCATGGACGCGCTATCGTCCCCAAAGAATATGTGCTCGTGCTGCTCTTGCGGCGTGGGCAGCTGCGTGAAGTCGGGCGACCAGGCAGGCGGCGGACTGGTCTCCGAGCCCTGGTAGGCGTACGGGTATGCGTGTGGTTGCTGCTGCTGCTGTTGTTGCGCGGGAGCAGAGAGCTCGGCGGGGAGAGGGGTCGGGTTGAGTGGAGGAGGGGCGTAGGCGTTGCGTGCGAGGCCGCCCTCTCTGCGCAGGACGGTCTGCGAGCGTGTAAGACCGCCGGCGAGATGGGGTGATGGATGGCCTACGTCGTCGGGGGAGTAGGCGGGCGGCGAGGAGAAGTCGCTGCTGGCCGCACTGGGGGGCAGGACAGCAATGGAGCGGCGGTCTGTGGTTTTGCGCGAGCGGTTAGTGTCGTGTGGTTGTTGACGCTATCGTGGGCCGGCGGTCTACGTACCACCCGGCTGCCCGACTTGGGCGGACGACCTCTCGTGGACGGAGACACTCCTGTTCAGCGCAGCGGGCTGCCTGGGGGGCGCGGGGTTGGGCTGCGGCGAGGGTTGTTGGGCGAGTTGGGTTGGTTGCGGTGGGTGCTGCTGGGCGTGCTGCTGGGCGGGACTGAGCGGCAGATCTGGATGGGCAGCAGTGGTCAGCGGTGTTCATCGGGCGGCCATCAGTGCCATGGCCAGCGCATTGGCAGCAGTAGGCAGTAATAACAGTATCGAATGCTCGCTTGGACTGTGGCCGGGGTTGGCGATGGACGACAGGGCCCGGCAGGGGTCGGAGGGTCCAGCTCTGCTCTGCTCGCCCACGCTGCTGGCAGATAGCACTCCCGGCGGCGCGGAAAGGCGTGTTTCTGGACGGAGAGACGTTCGGGATTGGGGGGTTTGCAGGTGCAGCAGTGTGGGTGGATTGTATAGTGGTGGATGACGGCGAGGGCGCGAGAGCTACTTACCCGGGTGCTGGACGCTGTCAGGAAACCAGCTGGCGCTGTGCGTGGGCTTTGATCTCGACGCCTTGAGAGAGAACTTCATCTGTGGCCCGTTGCCGCTATCGAGGGGCCCGACGACGTCTGTCGTCCCAAGTGTCAATGGCGCTGGTCTGAGCGCGGCCGGCGGAGCAGATACATAGAAACAAAGACTCCCACGATGCAGCAGGAGAGACGACGACAAGGCCCGCCACAACTGCCAGCACGCGCCGGCAGGGAGCAGGACGAGGAGCGGAGGGGCAGAAGGGGAGGCAGTAAATGAGAGGTATCGATTGCGGTGGTGGTAGCAGCAGCAATAGCAGTAATCGCCTACAATAATATTGGCGGCCTGAGCAGCTCGGCGCAACTGCGAGAGCCTCCGCTGCAACAGCCAGTCCAGCTGCAGCAGTGACAAGCCCTATGCAGCTCGTCTCTGGACGACGAGAGTTTGCGGTGCGAGCACACCACCACCACCGCCAGTATGCGACACGGCCTTCTTCAGCCGCCACCTCGTCTCGACCAGGAAGAGCTAATGGCTCGCCGCTGCTGCTGAGGTCCGCGCCGGCTGGGCTGCAAGCTGTCCATTAGTCGGCGGGGATTGATGATTCTTGTCCTTCAAAGCCATCCGCGCCGTCTCCGCGTACAGACGTATCGTTCGACACCTATCAGCAGCAGTTGCTGGTTTCGACTCAGCTCGCCGCAGGCATCTCGCTCTGCCAACTGCAGTCATCACATCTGATAATCGTTCTTCTTCTGCTTCTCCTGCTTCCGGACCGGGATACTCCACATTAGATAAGGAGGTTTCTAATTTTATATAAATTACGCTAGTCTAAGCGTAGCTAGCGAACGGTAAAGTAAATATAGATCGGATAGAGATATAATATATAGTTAAGTTATAGAGGTAGGAGAACTAAAACAAAGATAGGTACCTTAGTATACTCTTAAAGATAATATAATAAAAGTTAGAGTCTATTTTAATTTATCTACTAGTATAATTTTAATAAAAGTAAATTTTTTACTATAAAACTAATCTCTTATATTATAAAGTATTTAGATCAAATTATTAAATATGTCTACCTATAGAAGAAGAAATAAAAGATAAGGCGCGCGTACACAGCCGCTAAAAGCCTAGGTAATCGCTGCAGAGCGTGATTTTTTCACTCATACCAGCCGGTCCTCCAACGCCCCGACTTACCATCAACAAAAGGTAGGTATCGAGTATACAGGCACTTCAAGTGGAACAACTGTTCAGAAGTACAATGCATTGCGTGGAACTAAAGATACTCATCCACCTCCCCAGACCTCGCAAGTTTGGCCCGCATAGCCTTCACCTTCGTGTACTCTGCTTGACAGTGTCATCACTGCCAGTGATCGTTCCGACCCACATTGCGAGCAACAACATTCTGGTCTGTTGGCACAGTGTTCCCGCTCAGCTGCGAACCACGCCACATTCTGGACTCACGAAGCGCTCTAAGCTGAAGATCCAGGCGTCCGCCTGTTGCATCTGGTGGCACGGGCTGGTTGGTGGCGAGGGCATGTAGAACTGCATGATGCCCTATTCTTCGAGTTAGCAAACAACCGTAAAAATTGACTGTGTATCGTGAACCTACGGTCTGCAAGGTCGATCAACTTGTTCTTGAGCAAGAACTTGTTTCGATGCTGGACGAAGTGAGGAGAGTTCTGTCCTGGCGACAACGCTTCGGGGTAGCCTGCAAGTACCACTTTCTTCTCGACCAAGCTGACGAGGTAGGTGTTGTCCTGGAAGTGGGTGTTGTTGTTGCTTTGATCAGACTGAAGCATCTTGCCGATGAAGCCGTCATACATCTGGCCATGAGCAAGTGGATTGGGGTGTCGACTGCCGAAAGCACTGATGTCGGTGGATAGCCCGGCAATACCCCAAGTGACCAGATGTAATTCCTGTGGAGGATTCGGATTGCCAGGTGCCATAATCTGGTCCATCTCAAGAATGAACCCAATAAGACGTGGATCGGCCAGGTAGTTCGAGACAGTTGTCGGCACTGGGAGTACTCCACGACGATGAAACACCAGCCCGTAGCTCTGGAACTGTGCGTATCCACCGCCGGGAGCAGTTGGACGAATGAATTCGGGGTGGTTGTTCGGGTTCGGCTGATTGAGCATGTTGTTGTAGTGCTGGTGGTCCATCACCGTTCGTGCGATCAGAGCGTTGTAATGGGCCGCATCGTATCCACCTTCAGCGTGGCTTGACAGGCGCTTGCAGAACACAGCCAGCATGTAAGGCTCATCTGGTTTGTCCAGGACGGTCGGCTTGCAGTCTTTGGCGTTGCTCAGCACGCGTTCGAATTCTTCAGGGGCAATGGGGCATCCCATCGCTGAAAAGCCTCCTCCGGGACGTCTTTCAAGCTCATCATGCCGAGTTGGTCAATCTTGACCCAGTCTGACTCCTCGAAGCTTTCGAAGACACAAGTTTGCTTCAGGCTCTTGCAACGAGTGCATGCACGTTGGTTGTGCTTGCCGTTGCATGCGACCATCTTAGTGACCATCTTCGTCTCTCGACATCCCTTGCACGCCGAAGCATGGCAGCGAACAATCTGACGCTGGTATCGTTCTCTACCCTTCGCCTTGTCTTCTTCAGTCTCAGCTTGAGGGGCGTTAGATCGACGAGAGAGGTTCTGCTGATCCGGCAAGTTGAAGCCCCAATAGATCATAAATGCACCTCGCTCGCCATCTTGAGTGATCGACGAGTAGTGGCCCAACATTGGAGCATCATCACCACCCTGTACTCCATCGTGGTGAATCCATGCGACAGGGGTATCGTCGTTCACAGGTCCAAGGATGTGGGCCTGTGCTCGAGGCGACTCAGGGGTGGTGCCACCGACCACTAGACCAATGGCAACGTACTCTTCCAGATCTCTGCGTTCAAGCATGAAGTCGACCATCAGCTGAAGGTGTGTCGCGTTGAAATTGTTCCGTGTGCTCAATTGGCCCAACTCCTCGTCGAACGCTCTGGAACCTGGAACAAAGCCAGAGTCTACCAATCGGCGGACCAAGAAATTTCGGAACTCGTCAGTCAATCTACCCATAGTATTGGGGACGGCCTCGTGAGTCGAATCATCTGCGCGTTCTTCGTCGTGGTCTGCAAACATGGCGTGCATGAGGTTGTGGTAGTTCAAGGGAGTTGGTATGTCCGGCTCTTCACCACGTAGTGATTCATCGGTGCTGTCCCAGGAACGGTAGAGGGCTTGGGCGCGGCGCCACCGAGCATTCTGAAGAGCCTCCATCAAGGCACGAACACCACACAAAAGACCAGTATTGCTGGTGTGGTTGAGAACGATTCCGTCCTCGATGTCGTGCTCAATCCGGTCGAGTACAGACCTGCTTGCTACGAAATGCCCGTTGTGGGTTTGGGCAAGCGCGTGTGGTACTGCCGGTCCAACAACCTGTCGAAAGAAGGGGTGAATGCTTCGTAGGAAATCGGGCATGATTTCCGAGACGATTGCTTCGGCATCATCAATGGATAACTCTGCCGCGCTTCTTGCAGATTTGTGGTTTTCGATGAGCCAAGCGCGAATCGTTGACTCGTCCGAACGTACAACGTCTGGGTCTGCTCCACGATCACGAGCAGCAACTCGGAGCTCATCGGTCTTAAGTTGGTGCCACAAAGTGCTGCCGAATCGCTCCGAAGCAGTCCATTCGAAGCCCTCCAGCGCATCAATGTATTGAACCAAATCGAATCTGCTGATATGAGTCTGTGGTCGGTCGGGAAGCTTTGCTCGGGCCTGGGCTAGAGGAACTCCTGTGAACCGCCCGAGTGCCACGCTGAGACGGCGAGTCACATTGTGAACGGTGTCTGCGGCTCGGACGGGCCCCTGTTGCTCTCCTTGCAGACCTCTCGACCGGAGCCATAACGAGTTGCGGCGAGCGAGGAGTTGCACGTCGATGCTGGTATCTATGTAGAGGGGATCCAAGACCTGCGGACCTTCAGGCAAGACTCCACCCTGAATGGCATCCTGTAAGTAGAGGCTACGGATGAGCGCCGCACGGGGAGAGTTCGAGGCGACCGCAAGATTTCGCTGCTCTGCGAGGTGCGCCAGCATTGCTGTGGGCAGGAGGTGGTACGCATTCGCGTTGTGGCCGAGGTCGCCTTGAACTTGGGCGGCGCGTTCACACATTTGCTGGAAGGCGTATGCATGGTCGGTAGGCGTAGGGTAGGTGGGCGTAGGATCGGTAGGCGCAGAGTCGCCGGGCCTTGAGAGCTTTGCGCGTTTGGGTGGGACGTCTTCTCCTATTCCCACTTCCTTGGCCTTGCGCTTGATATTCTTGAGGTAGGTAGCAATGTTGTCCTCGCTCAGAGGGGTCTTGTCGATATCCTTCATGTGCTTAGTGCGAGTGGCTTGATAGCTCGCCTTGAAATCGGCGTTTGAGTTCAGCAGTTCGGCGGTTTGCTTAGTCGTTTTCTCGCGACGTTGCTTCAACAACAATTTTTGCCAGGTCGGCAGAGAGTCGAAGAAGCGTGCACCACTGTTGATGATGGCTTCGTCAGTCAATGTCTTGGCCGGTTTCAGGTACCGCTGAGAAGTGAGTTGGCGTTGGGTTTCCCGCTCCTCTTGCGTCGCGAGAGGTATCGTCGTCGTCGAATCGCGGGGCAGGACTTCATTGGCGTCGCGACTTGAGAACTTCGACACTGCTTGATACGCATCTGAGTTGAGGATGCCGGCTGTGAGGTCACGGTGTTTGGCTGCGGCCCACTTGCGTGCTTTCGCCTCGTCCTTCATTGAGATCCAGGCCCGACCCACTGTCCATACGCTGATCTGCGCCCCTTTGCTCCGTTGCGATTGGAGGTAGCTCCTCAGAAGTTCTGGATCGGTATTGATGGCGTCGGCGATGGCTTGTTGTTTTGCGTTTTGGAGGGATTGATCCACGACATACCTCTCCCAGTCTTCCATCGCGATGCCATTGAAGTCCTCGACCGTGTAGTTCGAAGCAGGATCGCGTGGCTTGCTTTTGCGTCTCGCTTGCCCGAGGAGTGTCCCGCTTTTTGCCAACTTGCGCAGTGTCCGCCACCGTCCCTGGAGGACGCTCGTTGTAGGCGCGGCTTTGTCGGGCTCATCGGCCCAACTCTTGAGAAGCCGAGGATCATTCTTGATGCGGTCGACAATGACAGCATAGGTCTCCTTGGCCAAGCGTCCTTTCACGAGACACTCTTGCCACGGCGTGAGATCGTCGAAGTCCTCGAAGGTTAATTCGCTTTCACCCTCATTCTTATCGTCTTGCTCGCTATCCTCTTGACCCTCTTCAGCCTCTTGGTCGTCATCTCCACGCGCTCCGGCTTCTCTCTCTTGGTGACGCTTGTCCTCGTCTTGCTCCTGTGCCTTCGCTTTGCCCTTCTTTGGGTTCTTTGATGGCGTCTCTGACATTGCTGGTGTGAGCGGCCGTTTGATGTACGGCTAGTCGGGGACTGTTCGCAGAACAAAAGGTAGGTGAGGTAGTTGCTCGAAGTTGGCGAAGCGCGTGTGGGCTTTGAAGGCGCGGAGAGTTGCGCAGAGGTGAAGCAACACTTCGCGATGTGATGATCAGGAAAGTCGGCAGAGTTTCCAAATGCTATCTTCTTTTGGTAGTTCGAAACCTGGTCGGTTGGCGTAGATGGAAGGCAATCCGTGGAGAAATTTTGTGTGGAAGAAAGGTGCCCAAGCAGCCGTTTATTGGGACGAGGCGCAAGTCGCAGACCACCAGAACCTTCGTGAAGAGTTACTCGCGAAACAAGAGACACTTCACTCGTGTAGGTGAATGTCTCTAAAAAAGTCATGGAACAGTAAGGCCCCGCGCTGTGTTTGTCAGGGGCTGCAAACGACGAGCTTTGTGTGACGACCAACATCTCTTCTACCGCTTGGTTAGCAGATTTCTCTTACACGCTGGAATCCTCCGCCAAAGCTCATTCGAGGCCATTCACTTACTATTCGATCTTTGCGCCAGTCTTGTCGCTGCGTCGCTGAGAGATTTGCAACTCCGTCTCCTCAACCCGTGCCCGCCACAGCGACGACCTACCCAACGACATCTCCTGCGACAATGACCACTCGTATCCCATCATCCCTCTTCGGCCCAGCAAAAGATGTCTCAGAACGCGTCCATCAACAAGATGCTGATGGTCCGAGGCAGTACATCCGCCGCATCTCCGCATGGAATGGCCAGGACGTGAGTGTGCTTGAAGCTATCGTAGATGAGATGAGCGAGGATCACTTCTACGTACGCAACGAGCGCGCTAAGCACGGCGGAGATGCTTTCCACGAACGTTACGAGGTCATAGACGCCGCCAATGCGCTTCTGGACCGCAAGGACACTCCACTCTACCACAGGGCAGCGGTATACATGATGTTGGCGTACATGTCGCATCACGACCCCTATTTCCAGATCGAATGCCTGCAAAGCACTCATGTCTATCTCGATCAGCTTGAGCTCAGGACGCGACGGTTCCAAGAGTATCTCGACAACCTCGACCAAAGTATAGTTGCAGGATATGCTCAGACGCGACGTGAGCTGGGCATTCAGATACTCCTGCCAGAGGGTGTGGAGCCACAGCCGATCGTCAAGCCTGATCTCCGTCTCGACCACAGACCTGCGGGCGTTCGACGCGATGCTCTGAAGCTGTTCGCGGTTCTGTCAAAGGCGATATCAGACGTGGAGTACATTAGCGAGGACAGCCGGATTGACGAAGAGGCCGTGCAGGATGACAGTGAGAAAGACATTGGCCAAGAGAAGGATGCCGCAGAGAAGATGGACGCAGGCCCAGATAGAGGGGATATCACAATGGCGGATGTGCCAGCCATCGTCGTCCAGACTGATGATGGAAGCAGTTCTGCATCGCCATTTTCCGGGACCGCCGCGATCGCAGGCGCGTCATCTTCTGGTCCTCAAGAGCTGTCTTCAGCTTTTGCGTCTGCTTCCAGTACTCCATCCGATTCACAGAGAGATGCTAGAATCCAGAAAGGCCCTCGTTCGCCCGTGCCATCGTTGCTTCGTCCACATGGGGCTTCGGCCAGTGCCAAGCTCGACACGGCCACTGGTATTGGGCATGGTGATGTCCGACTCTCTGGAGTATCGCCTCCTTCTGACGATGCCCAAGCTGGCTCTCAAAAAGCGACCTCGGTTGCAGTCGAGGACAAGAATGCAACGCAGTCTTTGTTCAATCTCTTGGGCTCAGACTCAGGATATCCCACTCACGGCCTCGGCCACGAGCCAGTGCATAGCCGGTACCGGAAGAGCAACTCCACCAAATCCAAGCCGTCTACAACCAAGTCTAGGAAGAAGCAGTCGCAGCGGCCGGGAGGGATTGACACGCTGCGGCATGCATTTGATCCACCCGAGGCTACTGCTCCACCGCCGGTCTCGCCAAAGTTCGCGGCAGAGACGCCATACGACGTGCCGGTTCGCATGAAGTCTGATGACTCCAAAGACGGCGGAAAGGGTGACAAGGAGGACGAGCAGATGAGAGGATAGATGTTCTCCCGTAGAGGTGTCTCAGTCGTTCAGGGTCGAGAGGTCGTGGCCTGGTTCGTTGGCTTCCATCGATCGTGGAGATGGGCTATATCTGTGTATCGACGACTCAGCTATGAGCTCGTACGACTGTTGCGACGAGCATGGTTCAGATGGGGGCAACGACGGTGATGCTATGGCCACGAATTCGAGCGAAGAGGTGTTCGAAGCTCGAGCGTCTTATTGTCAGCAGGGAGGGAGCGGTTAGCTCAGGTAGCGGTTAGCGCAAACTTAGCGCATAACCACCCGTATGCGCCCAATCTTTAAACAATTACTACTGACGTACCACTCGCTCTATTTATTTAAATTTTTCCTACTATATAGTATATAGTACTATAAGTATTATAAATTAAAGTAAGATATAAATATAGTATAATAAATTATATAAGGTTAGACTTATATAAGCTTATATAGTTTAAACTACTTAGATTTCTTATTAAAAAGTTTTAATAATAAAGCTAATTTACTCTTTATAGCTACTATTATAATATAAGAAATTAAGTTAGTAGTATTTTTAATATAAACCTAAGTCTTTTATTTACTAGCTAGCTCGGCTCTACTTCGTCTAGAGTTGTAAACTTTAGCTAGATCGCGATTCGGATCGTCGCTGGGCCTGTCTTTATGTGCCGACTTCCTTGCTACTAAAAATATACAAAACACCACGCTGCAGTTTCTCGGAAATGACCTCTCCTGGTATCGTCGCCGACTCATGCTAGCAGTCTGCGCTGATTGCTCACCGAGAGACACCGCTCAGGAGAAGCCTGCAATATGAACACCTTCAGTCCCGCTACTGCGCTGGCTCATGACGCTTCGTCTTCTGTCGTGCTGGCTCGCCATCGCCATTGGTGCTTGAGAGCTTGCCGGTCCAGTCACCTAGCGACGTCAGAACGTTGCGCTCGTGAGAAAACGATCGCCGCCGACATGGTTTCACATCTGAACGGGTCCAATCACACGTTGTATCCTTGCTTCTCTTGGCACTCCCTAACTTCCATCGTTGCATGTGCGATGGACGAAAGGCCATTGGAACTCACTCGCTGGACCCATAGCCGCTCTGGTACGAGTTGGACACGCTGTTCAAGTCCTTGTTGACGCGGTCAAGAGATCTTCACCAGGTCTGCCATCGAAGTGAGTCCGTCATTTGTTGCTTCAAATGTCTTGACTTGGTTAATCTCCCTCTCGTAAACTCTCCAAGTGTCAACGTTCCGTCTCGGCCTGCTACTTCTTCCTTGTTCTCCTCCGCCCACAAACAAACTCGGAAACGCTTCGCTCCTCCCGTTGCCTTCGTTTCTTATTATTACGACATCTGGTCGTCGTCTTGCCCGACACCCTTACCTCGCCCTTTGACCTGCATTGAAAGAGGCCACCCCGTCCTTACAGCTAGCTACAACCTTCGCTCGACAAACACACCCAACATGCGCGCCTCTTCCGTAATCAGCAGCCTCACGCTGCTCGCAGCCACAGTCTCTACCGCGCCTCTTGTCCGCTCCCGAGCTGCACAGGCATCGGATCCACCTTTCCAGGTCAGCAAGCTGGTCATCGATACTGTCGAGAATGGCAACACAACCATCAAGTTTAACATCTACGACCCTGACCCACTCACAAACGCAACGGCCACATGCTCTGGGTCTTGGAAGGCTGATTCGACAGACTATCCCAAAGATACCTACGTACGTGTCGAGCATGTCTTCTTCTTGATGCTTTACTGATGGTATGTCAGGAACTTTGCGGCAACAGCACCTTCGCCTGGAACTTCGACTCGTTCGACAGCGTAGAGAAGTTTACACTTGGCCTGGAACATCAATTCACGGACCCATCGTAAGTTCACGCCGGTCAACTATCACAGACAATCCAAACAGCTAACAGTGCCAGTGTCGGTGACCCACCCTACGACCAAGTCACCAACTTCGCCCACGCACCTGTCAACACCACCTACATCTCGTGCGATGGCGTTGGCAATGTGTCGTGCAAGCAGACAAAAGCAGTCAGCGCACCCATCTACGCAACCGTCGCGAAGCGGTAATGTTGCACCGCCTGATAATGCGCGGCTTCGACGTCCTACAGCACCAGGCCCCGGGATAATGGACCTCCCGGCTTGATGCAGGCGTCGTCGTGCAAAGTCTGGAGATCTGATCCGCACAGCATTATTACCGACATATGCTGTGCGACATCAAAATGCGGGCTCAAGGAGAAATGGTCATCCACTCGTTGTAACGAAATGTTTCGAGAACGCGGCAGCATCATGAAAAGAGAAAAAGGCAGTAGACTTAATGTATAATGAAAGTACACGTCTGCGGTCAGGATCTAGATAGAATATGGAGGCCCTCGATGAGTAACATTGAGGGTTTCGAAATCGGCTCTTCGTCAAGGGCCTTTGTACATACACGCGTCTCGGCATTTTCGATGCTTTTCGAGAGATATTCTACCATCTCGATGTCCTTCTCCGACTCCACACAACCGATGTCATCGTCGCAGTCCTCGCCATCGCTAGTCTCAGAACACTGCCGCCTGCACCCAATGACTGGAAACAAGAGACCCAAGTCCAATCCAGTCTCGAACGCGGTGCCGAGAGCGCGAGAGCGAGATCTCTCCAGCAAGCGCGCCACAAAAACGAGGTCACATGGTCCCCTTCTCGAACCCCGACCTCGAATTGCTCACTCGTTGACTCACCACCACCCGCAACAAAGCGCTACCCAACTCTAGGACTCACACCATGAATGACGCCCAAACCTTTCTAGAAATTTTCCCTCTCGTCTTTGCCAACCCAAAACCGGGGTTGCGACATCGGCTACATGAGTCTTCCGGAGTCATTCGTATGTCACTCTTTGTTGGTGGGGGTGGTATATAGGTAGGGTGACCATGCCTTACCTCTCTCTGGCAATTGAACTCCGCTTCTTTGTTGGTACCACTACGATGAACGCTCGCTTGGACTACGGATACAACCACTACCAATACCAACATTCTCTCCCACCCGCATCAACAATGACCTCAGGCTCAACCTCCAAACAAAACCGCAAACGCATCCGACATCGACCCTCCCGCGCGAGGAAACAAGAACTCTACACCGCTTCGCAGCGATCGGGTACTTCGCCTACCACCGACAACACACCGTTTAAATCGAAAACGATGTCGACCTCTGGTACGATGTGGTCGACGAACCTCCCACGCTTGCTGAGACAAGAGAGCGCCGAGTCGAGGGAACGAAGGATTTTTGGCGGGGAGGATGGCGATACGGCTTCGGCGAAGGCACTTAAGGGGGCGATGTTGGATGTTGTGCTCGGGTTGTTTGATGGGGTGGATTATGAGGATGGGATTTGAAATGGTATGAGTTATGAGAATGGATGAATACATACGACCATCACGACTTTAGATGTTGTCTTGGACAAGAGATGGGCGCTTGGGAGATTCTTGGACATACCTTTGTTGTCTTGTTACAGCGTTAAGATACCCCACTCCAGCTCAAATCTCATCATGGCCTTCGTTGCCAGCAGCAGCAGCTCTCTCCGCCTCTTCACTCAACGCGGGATTCGTCAACTTGGCATACTCCAACTGTTGCCTCCTCGCCTGCTCCGCCCTCTCGGCCCTCCTATACTTCGCCGTTTTATCAAACTTCGGCTTCGGCCTCTTCTTCTCCGCCGCCGCACAAAGCGGCCGGATAGGCAACATAGCCATCAGCCCGGGATTCCGTTGTACATAACCCACCTCAAAGTAATCCTTCCCCGTCTCGCCCCTAAACACCTTCGCCCAATGCGCAATCGTCTTGTCCACCTCCTCCAACGCCTGCCCCACCATCTCGTACCGATAATCCCGCTTCGTCTCGCTCAAATCCTCGTCAAACTTATCCATAAAGTGCGGCACATCCGTCGGCACAAACGTCCACTCCGCCCCCCGATAGTCCGCGATCGAATCTTCCTTGAAACACCCCGTGATGTACGCCCGCGTGGCATCTCGGCCGGCGAATTTGTTGTACGGACCGCCCGGGGCGTAGATCCTGCGTCCGGCGGTCACGTCGTAGATGGTGCCGTTGAGCGCGAGGTAGATGGGGAGGGATTCATTGCGGCCGTCGTAGTGGAAGAGGTCGCCGTCGGCGAGGATTACGGGGGATCTCTGCGGTGGGTGGTTGTCTCAGTAACCGGCGTTATGTGGGTGGGTATTGTTTTGGGCTTACCAGTCTTGCCGCGAGGACTTTGGGTCTTATCCACCAGGGCCGGTAGTTCCACGTTATGCTGTCGCCGGTGACGAAGTAGCTTGCTATGCAGTTGATCAGGAGGAGGCCGGCTATGATCCTTAGGGCGTCTACGACTCCTATGCCTGAATTGTCCTCGCTCTTGCTCGTTGCTGCATTGCTTTTGGTCTCCTTCTTTTCGGCCATGTTGTCGATAGCTCGGTCGTCGTGCTCGGGGTTGGAGACTGTGAAGTCCTGGGTTCCCGCAGATCTCACATCGGGGAAGAGCCAAGCCGGAGGTCTCTCGAACGCACCCGGCCTCTTATGCAGTGTCCAGACAAAGCAAGCTGTCCTCTTGTGACCAGTCTCGAGATGTCAGGAAAGCAATGTTAAGTTGGAGGGCTAGAGCTTCCAGAACTGTGGGGCGTCGCGTGGACCGGCAAGCTCTTCATCAGGTTAGCACGGAACTTTATGCACGACGCAGGTGAAGGAAGTGTGGACGACACGTGAAACGTGGGGAGGATTATCAGAGGAGAATCTATTCTCTATCTGATGTAGTTTGTGAGTGTATGGCCGGAGACACAACGGTGGTGTCGGTAGACATCTTGCCGCGGCTTCCTCAACCATCAAGCTTCTATTTGTGGTGCTACGATTGCTGCCTCTCGACGAGAAGCGTGGTGCACAGCGACCACCAGCTCAGCGATCAAATTGCTGGACCCTAGCGAACGGGCGGTGTGGTTTTTGTTGTGGACGAGAGGCATGATCAGTCTCAGCTCTTCAGCCGCCTATAGATTCGATTAGATTGATCGTCGATGTTGTGACAAGGAACTTACACTGCTGCACAAACTCTTGTGCTTTGAGCCAATAGTCCCTTCTCTTCCGAGTAGTCTCAGAGTTCGACTTTGGTGAAGACGAGGTTTAGTACTGGTTGAGCTTGCCCAGGCCCCAGAGCGAGGTCTCCCGGAAGTAGTCATGGCGACCATTGGCCGCCTCGAGCTCGGGTGATGGGTGGAGCATCTGCTCCCGGATGTACTCCTCGGCAACGTCGAATCGAAGCTGAAGGACATCGGCCCAGATCTGGATGATGATCTGTGGGATCCGAATGGGTCTGAGACGCGGGTCGAAGATGCGGTTGATGCGGCGATAGAGGCCACGAACCGAGCGGCTTCTCTCGAGCTCTTCAGGTTGCATCACTTCCGATGCTTGTCGCTCGATCCAGGACGTGACGAGACTCTCCAAATGCTTGTAGAGCCTCACCCGGTTGCCCACACGCTTCGCCATCTCGATGTGGCGCATAGCACGCTGATGAGCCTCCGTCTCGGAGCTGAACAGTCTTTGTCAGCTCAAAGGCGCAGATTGGTTGGGCTACCGTAGTAGTCACTTACCTCTCGTCGGTTGGGGAGTGAACAGAGGCGGAGTCGCCGATGATGGTTGGCGAAGACGAAGTGTCGGATGCTGCTGAAGCTCACGTTAGTCCCACAAGTATGGCTCTGTCTCTTTAGACCCTGGAACACACCATCAGAAGTTTCGTGGCCGAAGTAGAACGAGTCGCTGCGAGAGCCAACGGAGCTGATGTCGTCGGGGACGGCGAAGTCAGACTCAGTGTCTTCAGATACAGCGGACTCGGAGTTAGTGTCAGGGGGTACTGGATGCGAAGTCAGTTCTGTGCATGTCGAATCATGTGTCTTGTGCAGCCTTACCGCTTGCAGTGACAACGACTGCGTTCGAGGCTGTGGCGGTGGCGACTGGAACTGGAGGTGCTTGGGTGACCGATGGTGCATTGACGATAGGAGGTCCGGTAGCAGGAGATGGGCTTTGCTCCATGAACGTGAGCACAGGCAGCACATCATGGCCGTATATCTCGCCGTGAAGAGCGATCAGTTCCTTGAGACTCTTCACGTTGCGATCCATGTTGCGGTAGACCACGGCCGGAGTCTTGCCAGTGAGTGCGGCTTTGTTTGTCGTTGCTTGCGTGTGTTAGGAGTCACGCTTTTGCAAACTTGAAGTATTCGTGTGCGGCGGTCCGTGCAATTAGGGCCGAGAGCCGAAGGCAGCCACCACTAGCGCCAAAGTTTCGAGGTGAGTGAATGTTGAAGTCAGCCGACGTCTACAGCCAGCCCACCAAAAGCCAGCGCTCTCTCCACACGTTCATATGACAGCATGCTTGAGTGTCTTTCAATATTGGCGTAGTCACTCATAATTCGTTGGGGGTTCAAGCAGGAGTGCGTGGTTTGGTCATCGTCCGTCTCGTGCAGATGAAATCTGGTCGGCTCCTGTTTTTGACAAGCTTTTTTGTGATTGATGAATTCGATGTTGCATACTTCACTGCTTGACTGTGAACGATATTAAGGCCCGTAATTTGCACATCGGTGAATAGAAAAACGTATGACCTTAGCGAACAATTTCAAGAAATGATGGACTGTCACCTGACACTTACTAGCAACCTCCCTCTCACACAAACACTCCGAGTGCATGCATGAACTGCCGTGGAATGCCATCCAAGGCCTCATGTGTTGCCACTTCCAAGGCGTGTAGGTGACACGAATGCGGCTGTGCCAACCACCCGCGCCCAGGGGGTAGTGCCAAATGCCAAGCTACCCTCAGCCAGCCCTGCTGAGGAAGGATTTAGCTCGTGACAGCGCTTTATATGGAATGCGAAGCATGCAAAACCTGTTCGCTGCCAACAACTTCGAGTTTCTCGACACCTTCAGTGAGATCTCGTTGACATTTGAGAGATGGGAGGCAAAGGCGGTGGCCACGTGCCAGGACAAGATTTGGCAGATCCGTTTCGGTGCGTTCATGAACAAAAGCTCGACCTAAGAACAGGCAAAGCTGATTGATGGCAAGCCTCGTCAAAGGCGAATGGGGCGATCCAAGTACGCTTTCCGTGTAACCAAGTCAAGCAAGTACTGACACAGTCCAAGAATGCATCCCTCAGAAAGGCATCGTAACGTACGGCATCGCACAAAATCGCCTGAGACCGTTGGCTGGAACGGCTCAAGCTGCAGTCTTCAACACATTTCGACGGACCAGGAATCAGATATTGTATTGGGGCGTACCATTGCTCGTGGGGTATCAGGCCATGCAATGGGCTACGGAGAGGTGAGTCGGCTTGTGTCGTCGTAGTCCAGCGCTTGTTCTCACAAGTCAGCCAGGAACGAGTATCTCAACTCAAAAGCAGGGAGAGCTGAATTTGGGGAAGATGGATGAGGAGATGAGAAACCAGAGACCGTATTTTTCTTGAGCTTGGATAGACGCTCTATGGAACGAGGGCATTGTTCGAGCCTTTTGGTTTTGCAAGAATGAGATGAGATTGAAAGGCTCCTAGCCGCATACTACACCTTCCTTGGGTATCTCTGCCGTGCTCTCGTCTCTACCATTGACGTGTGAAACATTGATGCTCTCGACCTTGCCCTCTGGGGCCACGCCAGCCTTTTGCTTCTCTTCTTTTTCTGCTTCCAGCTTAGCCTTTGCTTTCTTGCTGAGCTGCATGCTGCCCTTTTCAATTGCCTCTTTAGGAAGTGGGCGAACATGAGGCTGGACGATCCAGTAAGGTCTTTGGCAGCGACGCACTGCCTCCGTGCTGGAAAGCTCTGGATCGGCCACTTCTTCGCCCTCCGCAGGATCTGGATACTCGTACTTCGACGGATCTTTCTCGTAATCCAGCAATCCAGTTTTCACCGCTTTCTCAGTCAAGGTTAGCACATTCTCGTACGCATCGATATCTCCTGCTCGCGATCGCGCTAGAGCGTCTCGAACTTCGTGATGTGTGCTGACAAGCGAGCGCAGAATATGGAAGCAGTGCGGTTGCATAGCCGTCATGTTCGGATTCGTACACTTCTCGTGTTTGACAGGCTTTTCCTGCGTCTTATCCTTCTTGTTCCCTGCGCGCTTTTGCTTCTTTTTAGGCGGAGGACCGTCTTCTGAGGGCGTTTCGGTTTCTTGAGGTGGTTCGACGGGAAATGATTCGGCTTGTGCTTCTGCTTCAACAGGAGCATCTGAACCGTCTGAAGGAAGGAACAATGGCTGTCTCTCTGGTGGATCTTGGCCCAAGACGTACTGGTGTATAATATCCAGATACCTGCGGAGCACAGCATCTGCACGATAGCCTCCCTTGCCGTCCCTGCCTCGCCAGTATTCACGTCCTTCTTGGCCAGGTGGCGGTCCTGAAGAGAAGATAGCAGGATCGTAGAGATTCCCTTCTGCAGTCATCACCGCATCTGCTGTTGTTGCGTCAAGACATTTCTGGAGATCTCCATGCTGCAGGATATTGCCATTGGCGAACATGACTGTTTCTGGGGGTAGTTGCTCGCGCAAATATTTCAGGGTCTTCCAATCCGCCAGACCAGTGTTGTGTCCTTTCTGCTCTCTCTGCCGTCCATGTACCGTGATGATACTTGCTCCGGCATTCAAAATCATCTTCGCATATTCGAGAGTTTTTTCCCTGGTCTCTAGTACTCGCATCTTTGCAGTCACAGGTATGTCCAGCCCTTTGTGTAGTGTGTTGATGAGTTTGTGAATCGTATCCCAATCCTCTTGTAGGAAAGCACCGTAGTGTCCACGCTTCGCAATCCCTTGTGGACATCCTAAATTCAGATCTACTGCGTCGCAGTATGGCTGCACCAACTTCGCTGCCTCTAATAGCACATCGGGTTCGTTCGCGCAGAACTGGACGAAGAGCGGTCGATCGAATTTGGGATTGCCGTCAAGGTAGGCGTCTTCTTCCTTGAATGATTTCTGCTGTTCATCGTCTGCCGGCTGAGGGATAGCAAGTGGTGGCTTCAAAGGTTCGAAGTGGGCTGTTCGGTATTTGGGGCCGTCTGCGAAGAGCTTTGCATGGAACATAGGCGAGTAGGCGAGTATTGACGTTCGAAGCTCGGGTGGGAGGAACGACCGAGTGAGCATTCGCCATGCGAATTCGGACTGGTCTACCATCGGGGCGACCACGTATTTGGGAGAGCCTATGCTCTCATAGAAGGCTCGCCCGTGGAGCTTTTGCGGCTTCATTGTCGCGTAATGATTCGTGAAGGCTCGAGCTGGGAGTGCTGGTTTTATCTTTGGTGATAGAGTGAACAGGTGACGGGGGGTCAAGATACGCGCGACATGACTGAATGGAAGAGACATGCGCTGCTTGCAAGAGGTTAAGCTGCAGCATCAGTTTCATTCACTTCAAGTTAACCATTTAGTATTACTCATCACGGCGTTCGGGATTGAGCACGGATCAGCGGACGCAGCCGCTTTCCCCAACATCACTCTCCACAACTCTATCTCCATCTCAGCAACGCCCGTTGGAGAGCATCATTCGAGCATGCATCGACTCCTGTGGACATGCTTACCGGCCAACCATGGCGAGCAAGCAAAGATCACTTCGCTGTGTAGTCTGTGATCGCGATTTCCGCCGGCATGAACATCTCAAACGCCATGCACGCATCCACACCCGTGAGAAGCCGTTCGCCTGCGCTTGCGGCCAGGCATTCAGTAGACAGTTAGTACTGGGTCCCTTTCCTCTACACTGCTGATGGGGAGCCTGTAGAGATCTCCTGCGTCGTCATGAGAAAAAGCTAGCCAGCGACCTCCATCACGCTTCACATAGCCCCAGTCAGGCTACCGAGCGGTCCAACGAGCACTCCGCCAATGGACCGTCGCTGGCGCACGTTTCTCTAGACACACCAGCCTCTCTGTTGTTGGACAATATAGGTCCAGGACCTGATGGTCAACCATCGACAGGCCTGCCAGACAACTACAGTGCTTCGACAGCTACGACCCTCAACAATGGAGTGGCAACGGCAGGTAATGAGAACTTGGCTGCCCTCTCCTGTGGACCAAGCTCGACAGTGGAATCCAACGACCTTCTGTCAAATTGGTTTCCGTCCGAGTCTGAATGGACGCTTGACGGGAGCGGCTTGTTCGATGCGACCTCCATGATTCCAGACCTTGACCTTTCCAGTTGCTTTCTGATGCATGATTTTGGCATTGCTGAAGATCAGCCAACGCAGTCTGCTGCCACATCTCAAGTGCCCGGTTTCGTTCAGAGGTCCGAAGTTTCTGGCAATGAGAGCACTGCTGTGCGCCCATCTGACAGTCACGAACTTGGCGAGGCAAACTCCATTTCGCGATTCGGGTCCCCTCTACCATCCCTTCCGCCCAGAGCATCTCACGAAAGCGCGACAGCTACCACACGTTCGAGTCAACGCAGACAAGGAAAGCTGACTGAATTGGAGTATCGTCAGATCATGGACAAACTGCAGCAGGTGAAACATGTCCTTCCGCCCACCTTCTCGCTCCCATCAAGGCAGGCTCTGTCTCGTTACCTGAGGGGCTATCTTAAAGGTCTTAATGAACATTTCCCAACGCTCCACACGCCGACTTTCTCCATTGCGCGGACTGAGCTGGTGACCTTACTTTCAATGGCTACTATAGGCGCAATGTGGTGTTTCGAAGCTCGGCAGGCCGATACTCTGTTCTTCACTACCAAGTCCGCCACCTTACACCAGCTCGACCGGTACAGCGCAGCGCTTGACCTTGAAAGTAGCACAGAGGGAAACGACGTTCGGCTGCACATCCTTCAAGCCTTGCTCCATCTCATCGTCGCTGGTACTTGGGGCTCGTCTCGGTTGCTTCGACAAGGACTGGGCCTTCAAAGCACTGCAGCCACGCTTGCTCGTGAGCTGGGTTTCCGGGAAAGGTCTCAATTCGAGAGATTGTCCAATTCGTCGAATTCTGTCTCAGAAAGATGGCACAGATGGGTGCAAGCCGAGACACGTCGCCGGTCCTTGCTCATGCTTTACTCTTACTTCAACGTCATGTGCCTTGCGTATGACATCCCGCCTTTGATCCTATCTTCAGAGATTCGACTCGATATGCCTGCCCATGTATCGCTTTGGACGGCAGAAACCGCACAGGAATGGAGTTCACTTTACGAGTCTGCTGGGGCGATGCCTCGAGTGTCGTTCCAAACTTGCATAGCTTCTCTTCTCGCACCAGCGTCGCCTTCCCTCCGGCAAGAGGGCGCATTCACGCCACTGGACAACTACATCACCATATTGGCGCTCTTGCAGCGAATCTTCTTCCTTCGGCAATCATGGACAGCACGAGCCTTCAATGTCGATCCACCTGCTGATGGCAGCGCGGCTGAGCTCCCAGAGACCTCCAATATGCGGACTGCTTTGCAGCGCTGGCAAGCCCGTTGGGAGAGGTCGCCTGATTCCATTGTCGAGTCGCCAACATGGACCGGTCCTATCCCATTCACCTCCACAGCGCTGCTTCGCTTGGCGTGGATTAGACTCTCTACGAATCTGGGTCCTTGCCGGAATCTCGCGAGCAGAGACCCAGAACTGATAGCAGATGCATTCTTCAAAGCCCCCAAAGTGCGTAGAAGCTCTCAGGTGACGATGCCAATCCTGCAGGCTGTGTATGCCCTTGCTGTACCGGTTCAGACTGGCGTTGAGTTTGTGGCCAGGGCACAAACTGTCTCTTGGAGTGTACAGCATTTCCTTTGCAACCTCGAATGTGCGATATTTCTAAGCAAATGGCTGGAAGAACTCGCAGTCACAGCAACGAAAGACCCACTGGCGCCTGACGAGCTGAAGCTAGTGGCTCTGATTCGATCAATGATGCGTGAGACGAGTCTGTTCCATGAGGACGATGAGTTCACACGACTGGTCTCAGAATCATCTGCCCCTTCAACTGACGCGACTCGAATGCTCGCAACCGCGGTGGCCAAAGTCTGGGCTAAGATCTTCCAGGGCACTTTCGCGTTTTCATTTGCTAACACTATTGGAGCGAGTCTACGAATATATGCTGATCGTATGGAGGGCGCAACCTCGAACACGACTTGATCATCTGAGACACAAAGCTTTCACGGCAAGAATAATTCAAACAACACCCTGCCAGAGCAGGCAATCAGTCGGAATTGAACATGTATCTCCGTTGCTGACTGTATCTCTCACCAACGCAGGCAGCAGTTTGAGGCACGGTCGCTCTAGTAGGGGGTGAGAGATTGGTCTCACATAAACTTTGGGTGTGAACAGAAAGACAAAGGCAGCCATTAATGGCGGCTGCTTTACAATCGAGACTGCGACCCCGCGGCGATCTGTCTAAGTCGCACAAGAACCTCGCTATCAACTTCCACCACGCCTTCGGCTCTTCTCTCCTCTCGCTGTCTGTGAGACCTCTGGAACGGCATTCTGACCGATCCCTTCGAGCCTGCTGCGCTCGGTGCTTCCGATACGGCACGCTTCATGGTCTCGACTTGTTCCTTGTACTCATCGACCGGTCGGAACATCTTCGGATCTATGGCGACAATGAAGAAGCCAAAGTCTGTCATTTCCGGTGGGAGCGCTGGCGATCCAGCCAGTACACCCAGCAATTGTACCGCCATGGCGAGACCGCTCCCTTTTGCGCCACCCCACACTGCCAGAGCACCGTCCAGTGCCTCTTGTGGGTCTGTAGTAGGCTCGCCGTCCGTATTGAAAGCACTATCCTCTGGTATCTTCTGGCCGAGGCGTCGGGCGAGCATGGCTTCGGCATGGATAATCTTCGACGTTCCAATGTCGTAGATGATGGGCACACCCTCTGTGGGAAACCCAATTGCGAACGGGTTCGTACCAACAAGAGGTCGATACGTGCCTTCTGGTGCTACCCATGGAGTCGTGTTGGACGCGATGATGGTCACTAGATCTTCTGCTGCTGCCATCTCCGCGTAGTATGACAACATGCCGGTGTAATACGTTCCGTGAGCACCGACGACCGCTACGCCGATCTTTTTGGCCTTTTCGATTACGAGCCGGGTAGCTGCATGGGCAACGATATAACCTAGCGTATCTTGGCCATCGATTTGCGCCGTTGCTGGACCATCTTTTACCACGCGGTACTCCTGAGCTGGTGGCTTTCCAGCGATCCGGTCGGCTATACTCAGCATTCGCGCAAGTCCTGCTACTCGAAAACCTCTAAGTTCTGTGTCGATGAGATGATGGCTGATGTTTGATGCATGGTCAGAGTTGTAGCCGAGTTTCTGAGCAACATCGCGCAGGAGCTGTTCTGCTTCTTCGATTGGAATAGTTGTTTTCGACTGATCCATGATGTGTTCAACGACTGCCGTAGGAGCCAATCGAGAGCGCAGACATTGATATTCTTCACAAATACAAAAGAAGAAGCACCGCATCAGTCATCTCACCTAATTCCCGGCACGCCACCCCCAGATCTGTCTCCACGGGTTGTGGGGTAGATTTGACTCCTGTGGAGTCGTGAGCCCCACGGTCAGGCTGAGGATGTTGGAGATATTGACCCCAACACATTGGTATGTTCCAGTGCATTGGCTCCCATTATGAGTTGTCGTACTATCTCGAACAGGAATCTGCAAGGTTCATCTTGGTCGAAATCTCTTAGTCCTGCTGCTGCTACCATCTGATCGGTATATTCCTATCACACGCCATGGAGCCTAAGTCGTCTCAAGAACTCATCGAGGACGTGTCGAGCAACGTCGAACGCAAAGATTACCCTCTCGTTATCGACAATGGTGTGGACGGGGCTCAAACAGGACCTTCAACATTCAGTGCAGTCGAAGAGAAGCAGATTCGACGCATTATGCGCAAAGTGGACGCTCGTCTCGTGGGCATGCTGGCATGCCTGTACATGTGGGCTTTCATTGACCGCTCTGCACTTGCGAACGTAAGGATCCAACTCCTGCAGAGTATCAACGACCAACCTGTTAGCTGACTGCTCTCGAAGGCCAACATCGCTGGAATGTCTCACGACCTTGAGCTGAATGTTTCAAACCGCTACTCTGTGGTTGCCATGATCGTACGTTAAACACCTGGGATAGTCGTGCGAGAGACTGATCTGACATCTTAGTTCTTCGTCGGATACATCCTCATCGATCTACCCACGAACTACCTCGTGAGCAAGGTCGGCGCGACCCTTTGGATACCGAGTATAGTCTGGTGCGTCTGGTTACAGATCATTCGTCAAACAAGCCGTCATTGCTAACGAATGTCTGCAGCCTTTGGGGGTACGGCTGCTTCTTGAGCGCGCCATTAGTCCCGACTGACGACTGATCCAGCGTCATCACAATTGGCCAAGGTTTTGTGCATTCTTGGGGTGCTCTATTAGGTGAGTTGGAGCTACGAGGCGCCTCTTGCTCGGCTCGATACCCTCCTGGCTGACGAGTGGATAGCCTGCCGTTTTCTCCTAGGCCTCTGCGAAGGTGGCCTCATACCTAGTGCCATCTACCGTAAGTAGTAGAAATACGGTCCGCTAAATAAATGGAGTCTGACAACAAGAGAAAGTCATTGGTGAATGGTACACGCGCTACGAAGCGCACGCGAGGTTCGTTGAACGTCAGTGAGTTTGTATACTTGACTGCCTGCTGATACTTCGCAGGATAGCAGCTTTCTATGTCATCGTAAGGCACGACAAGAAGGATCAAGAACGAGGCTGACGTTCATCCAAGGGCATTACGGCCACCGGACTCTCTGGTCTCCTTGCGTATGGTATCGAGAAGATGGAGGGCACTGCCGGGATTGCAGGCTGGAGTTGGATATTCATCATTGTGAGGCCGTGAAGCGGTCCGTATTTTGGCGCATAACTAATGGCCGGACGCAGGAGGGTATCGCGACCTGTGCTTGCGGACTAGTTGCCTATGTCGTTCTCTTGGAGCTTCCTGATAAATGTATGATCTCCCAAAGACGACATGGCTATGCTGACACTGACTTACTTTACATCAGCTACGACCCGCACCATACTTCGTCTTCCAGCGTTCCTTACGGAAAGTGAGGGTGCATTGATAAAGAGGCGTCTTGAAAACGACCGCGGAGAACTCGAAATGACAACGCCCACCTGGAAGAGCATGCTGAAGTCGGCGGCGGACTGGAAGGTTTGGGAGTTCTCCCTATATGTGCTGCTAAACGTACTGATTACGGTCCGCTTATTCTGGAGCTTGTGCTGATACCGGAGACAGAACACTGCGCTCTACGCATTCTCCTACTTTCTTCCGATCATCCTCCACCAAGGCTTGCACTATTCGACGGCGAAAGCACAGCTGTTTACATTCCCTCCTTACGCTGTTGCTGCAGTTGTGAGTAAACCCCTGACGCTACAAGCTATGTGAGCTGACTTGTACCAGTGGATCATGTTCGTGGCCTGGCTATGCGATAAGTTTCATCTGCGAGGCCCATTCATGATCTTCAACTGCTGTCTATACACCATTGGCACTTCTCTGTAAGTGCTGAGTCCCATTTATCCCCTCAAGTGTCTAAAAAGCTGACCGTAAAAATCAGAATGGCCTTCCACGACAACGTCCACGTGAGATACGGCGGAGTGTTTTTAGGCGTCATCGGCATCGCAGGCAACGTGCCCTCGAATTTTGCATACGCGCACAACAATATCGGTACGTACTCCTAAATGCCATCTAAAAGCTCCCTCCACAACTAACATGAACGATACAGTCGGACGGCCAAAACGTGCCCTCTGTGCGGCACTCATGACCATCGGCGGAGCGGTTGGAGGGATCATCTCAGGCAACATCTTTCAAGCACAAGACGCTCCTGTCTACCGCACTGGAATCATCATTTGTCTTGTTTTCCAAGGTCTCAATGTGGTGTTGATTGCGAAGAACTTTTTGATCTTTGGTATGAGGAATCGACAGGCTGAGAAAAGCGGACTGCTTTTGGAAGGCTCGGTGGGGTTTCGGTATACGTATTAGATGGGGAAGTTTTTGGCAAGGTTGTGGTTGCATGTGGTTTTGATCATGTTGCCGTTGGAATCACGTACCGTAAATATGACTCGGGGGGGATACAGTAGCGCCTGTTCACTGGAGAAAGGATAGCCACCCGTCGACAGGTGGTAATGGTGCGGTATATGTCATTCACTCGCTGTCTATCACATGTTATTACGTCATTGATCATACTGTGAAGTGAGAAGAGATGTGGGGCCAATACTAAACCTGACCTGTAGTAGGAAGTGAGGCTTGCGGTAAGGTAGTAATTGAGTGCCAGAGTCATAACTACAGTGAGGTAAGAGTGTAACTGAAAGTGAGGGTTGTGATGAACTTTGAGTTGAAGGTAGAAGTGAGCGCTAGAGTAAGGGCAACAATAAGGTCAGAAACAAGGTTCAAAGTGAGGTCTGTAGTGGGCTCTGAACTAAATCCAAACATGAAGTCTGGAAACCCCAAATCACAGCCTAGCAACCAACTCCCGATTGTCCCCCCGTCTAGCAGCGTGCTCACCAGCAATCCTCGCATAGACCGCCGACCGAAGTAAGGAAGCACCCGCCGCATAGCCAAAGTAGAAACCCCCCGTCATCTCGCCCGCAGCGTACAAGCCCGGCATAACGTTCCCTTCATTGTTCATGACGCAGGCAGACTGGTCCGTTTTGATCCCTCCAAAAGTGAACGTGATGCCGACCGTCACTTCATAGGCGACGAAAGGGGGCTTGTCGATCTTCTGCGCCCAGTGGGATTTTTTCGGCGAGAGGCCTTCTTTCGTGCATCGACCGTCTTTTTGGTAGGGATGGAAGGGGGTCGATTCGTCGGGGACCGCGGCATTGAAGTCGTCCACAGTCTTGTTGAGGCTTGATGGCTCGATACCGAGCTTCTCAGCGAGCCCCGAAATAGTGTTGGCTTCTATCCGCGTCCCATGAGACAAGTAACGAGGCTCGAGGTACTTGACCGTTTTCTGATCGAGGATCTGGAACGCTTTGGCGTCTTTCTCCTTCGCTAGGGCGGCGCCGATTTTGGAGTAGATGAGACTGGTCTCGTCTTCGCCTTCGTCGACGAAACGTTGCCCAGCGGTGTTGACCATGATGCAGTATGGGAAGGCGTAGCGCTCCCATGCGTCTAGTGATTCGAAGTTGCCGACTTTGGGCGTGTTGATGTCTAGGGGTGCGCAGTGGTAGCCGCCCCAGTGGCCTTGAGCCTGGGCTCCTGCGGCGATGCTTTGCTCCAGCATTCGACCTGTGTTGAAGCGGGTGCCTCGGACGATGGCTAGCTCAGTGCCTTCGCCTAGGTATTGTCGACGCATTCGTGGATTGGCTTCGAATCCGCCGCAGGCTAGAATGACTCTGCCGTAGAAACGGTCGAAGCCCATGTTACGGCGAACGGTGATGCCGAGGACTTGATTACCCTTGACGATCAAGTCATGCGCGGGTGACTCGTAGAAGACTTTGATATTAGTCTTCTCCACAGCTGCCCACACCGCATCGGTCAACCCTCGACCATTATCACGGTTGATGACAGGAACGCCGGGATAGAGATTGACTCGCTGCCCCTTTTCTGCTTTCCGAGGAACGAACAAGTCAAAAGGCAGCTCGAAAGGAGTTCCATGCCCAGCCAGCCATTGCACCGTGGGATACCCACGCTGGATCAAAGTCTTGATCTCGTCTCGATCATGTCGACCGCCTGACTTCTTGAGCATGTCCTCTTCGAACGTTGCTGCTGTGTAGGGTCCTATTTCAGCCCCGTCGAATCTCTCCAATGCCTTGGCGTCAAGCAGTGGCTTGAGGTGCTCTCTGCCTTCGTGCACGAATCGCCATACTGTTCCTGCGAAGCGACTGTTCCCTCCACGCTCATCCCTCGGCGCAGCTTCCACAATGGCTACTCGAGCTCCATTCTCATAAGCAGTGAGAGCCGCTATGCACGCGGTCATGCCGCCGCCAACCACGACGACGTCAAAGTTGTGGTTGTTCGACATTGCGAATTAGAGCAATGACCGTGAGTCGCAACATAAACAACGAATTGCATTCACCATCGTCGAATCGGTCGATCAAGCATTCGTTGTCGAATCCGTTGGAGAGCTGGATGGGATTGTGTGGGGTGTTGGAGACGAAGCCCTTCCAACGCCTCCATCGCCAGGGATCTCACCCACTGAGCCCCAACATGATATTCCTCCCCACCTCTTTATATCCGACCATGCAGCCATTGCCAATGTCCCCGCGCTGGTAAGACCCCACAGCATGGAGACCGTCACATGAGCGCCATCTCGAAGAGCTCAACGACCGGGGTGTAGCTGCAGTGACTTGACAAGATCCCACTTCTGGTCTTGCGAAAACCTCAAAGACCATTCGCCGTGCACTAAACAATAGCTAGCCATGGAAACGACATCCACCACTCCGTCTGGATATGGGTTCATCGGACTGGGAAACATGGGCTTCGGCATGGCGCTCAACCTTCGCCGTAAAATGCCCAAAGATTCCACGCTCAGTGTATGCGAGTTGGACGAGGGTCGGAGGAAGACTTTCAAGGAGCAAGCGAGTGCGTTTGGGCTGGTAGACGTTCTCGACTCACCGAAGGAGCTTGCCAGTGTTTCTGTATTTCTCCTCAATCACTTGAAGGTAGACACAGCCTGACAAATTTGCCTCTAGGACGTGATCCTTACTTCTCTACCATTCGCCAAAGCAGTCTCTGATGTCTTCGAAGACCCAAGCACCGGTCTCCTGGCCGGATCACCTAACGGTTCCGACAAACTCTTCATCGATCTTTCGACGATCGAAGTCTCCGCGGCGCTCGCAGTGGGTGACGCTGTGGCAAAGTCCGAAGCAGGCGTTTTCATCGACGCTCCGGTTTCAGGAGGGATTCCAGCTGCTGACAACGGCACACTTTCCCTCATGGTTGGTGGTCGAAGAGAAGATTTTGACAGGGCGCTTCCGGTCTTGGAGACGATTGGGAGGAAAGAGTCGATCTTCTACTGTGGGAAAGCTGGTGCTGGGTTGGCGGCGAAGCAGATTAACAATTATATTGCGAACGTGAGCTTTTTGGCGCTGGGTGAAGGTCAACATATGCTCGCCATTGTCTTGCCGATTATATATGCTAACCGACATGGTCTCAAGGTATGAACACTGGGATTCGATACGGGCTTGACCCAAAAGTTTTAGCAGGTATTTTGCCCAGTTCGGATTCTGAAGAGAGCCAGAAAGACTGACGGCTGTCACGAGACATCATCAACACCAGCAGCGGCATGTGCTGGAATTCCCTCCACATGAACCCCGTCAAGGGCGTACAGCCTAATTCATCAGCATCTAGGAACTTTGAAGGGGGTTTCAAGACCGAGCTCGCTCACGACGTGACTTCTATGGCTGTGCAGCTCATGAACGACGTGGGAGCAAAACATGTCTTGGGTAATGTTATCAAGGATGTGTATGATCGGGCGATAGAGAGTCCGCATTGCAAAGGAAAAGAGTGCAGGAGCATATATCGGCTGCTTGTCGAGGATGACGGGAAGGGATTGGGTACCACGAAGATAGAGTGATAGTGTATCTTGTCTTTGTTGGTTGGTGTCACCTGATCTTCTTGTCTGCGTCAGTTCAATCAATGTGCGCATCTTCAGGGCTCTATTGGTGCGGCTGTAGACGTACCACAACCAGAGCTGAAAGGATGGCTTCTCCCTGACTCCACAAGAACGACTGATGTTCTCCAAGGATTTGGGGTGGTGTGGGGTCAAGCATCTACAAGAGGATTGTAGACAGTAGTACTATCCTCCCATTAGTCTTCCAAAACGAGTCGTGGTTTCTGTACACTTGCAGCCATGGGCAGCACCGGCGACGATATACACACCCTACCGCCACCAGCGAAAGACCAAGTCTACGTCAAAGTCGCAGCGCTCCATGGAGGGTTCCTAACGCTGCCTGAAAAGCTATTCGTGTCGAACCCCGAGCCCGACAAAGCCGCGACGGTACCTTCTCTGTGTTTCTTGATCGAACATCCTTCTACCGGAAAACATCGTCCACATCGTATTGTCTTCGATCTCGGCCTTAAACGGAACGCAAACGATTATGTCGAAGGGATGCGCCACCATATCCAAAATCGTCAACCTATCATTCACCTTCCAGATGCGCGGGCCAGTCTTCGAGCGGGTGGTTTGGGTGCGGCGACGGATATCGATACCGTGGTTTTGAGTCATATACACTGGGATCATGTTGGCACACCGTCAGACTATTCGCGGGCGATGTTCGTGGTCGGGAGTGGTACATTCCATGCTCTTGAGCACGGTGTACCACACTATCCCAGCGAGATGATGGAGGTGGACTTGCTTCCAGAGGGTCGATCACTTGAATTACCACCGGTGCCATCATCTCAGCACAAGGCATTCGCAGCGCCGAAAGAGCAGCAGAATCCACAAACCTGGGACCGGCTCGCTGATACGGTGGACGCAATCGACTTCTTTGGCGACGGAAGCATGTATATTGTGGACAGCCCCGGTCATATCCTTGGCCATCTCAACGCACTGCTGCGGGTGAGTCCAGACAAATGGATATTCCTGGGAGGAGACTGTGCACACGACCGAAGATTGATTACCGGAGAAATGGACATCGCCGTGTACAGTGATGGGTGTGGAGGAGTCCGCAGTGTGCATTCCGACTTGCCGACCGCGCGCCAAACGTTGTCCAGCATTCGCAAGTTGCTTGCATTGAATGAAGATTCGGTGGAGTGGGTGGTGGCCCATGATGGAAATTGGGCGGCTGAAAATGCGCATCGCTTCTACCCGGGTTACATGTAGAATGGCGGTTAGGATGAGCAATGACTTAGATATGCACCTAAGTACATCATCAAACGAATATCCAAGCGAGGCCTTGAGGGAGGGAGGTGAAGTCGAGACTAGATTAAGCTTTGGAGCGTAGATTACCTAGTTTGTCAAATGTGGAAGTAGCGAGCACTGAACGAGCCGCGCGAGTGATCCGCATATGATGACTGTTTCAAGTGAATGAACACGATGAACACGAGCACGTGCGTGAGTGTAGATTGTGTCGCACAAAGTGGTGGGGTGATACATTTCGCCAGGTCTGGCCGATGAACTCTTCTCAGCACAAATTGTCTCTCAATTAGTAACCGCTGCATCGGTTGTTGAAGCTCGACTTCAGCGCAAAGTTGATTGTCCACGTGATGGGCAGGGCAGACCTGGTCTCAAGAATTCAGCATGCTGACATGCCCATTTGTTCTCTCTAGACCTCGCCCCTCTCTTCATAGCGCACACTCTTGCCGGAGGACGCCTTCATCAATGTACGGCCGGATGTTCCCACGATACGAGATGCCACGACGGAGCCTAGGCCGCTCCAAGCCAGTCCGCCCCTTGGCCTCATGTTGTTTCGCAGCGGCACAGGGGCGGAGGCCCGCCGTGAAGAGGTTGGCGAGATGGTCTCGCGGTGGCACCACACCAGGATACGGCGGTCGTCAAAGACGGCAGAAGAAGGCGTCGAAGGCCAACGATGGAGAAATGGGCGATGGGCGCGTGTGCCAGGTAATACCGCTGGACGGCGGCGATTGGGGCTGGGCGACCGCCGTCGACGCAGGTACAGGAGGCTAAGTGCGGGAACGAGCAAGGGCAGGAAGAGCGCTGAACATGAAACACCTGCAGACTTCGCGTGCCACGGTATCGCGACTCTCCGACCTTTAACACTGACGCAGGGCGCCTCTCTGCTCCGTTTCACTCCTCGACGTGAAGCCCGTCGTTATAGCTGCGTTGTTATACATCCTCTTGGCGGCCCAGCAGTCCGCCATCTTCCTCTCCTTTCGCCAACCCGGTCGACGAACAATTACCCAGCTGCTGTCGAAGTTCTACCGCCCCCGCCGTCCTCAGGCTGAGCCACCGAAGTCTGCCAATCCGCTGCCAACCGGAATCGATAAGAAGTTGACGTCAGCCTCCGTTGCCGCGTCTGCATCTCATCTTGCTGCTCCTTTAAGATTGCGCGTGGTCCAGCCGCCTCGCGCTAGCGCCACTCCACCCCCGAATCACTTGGATTCAACACCACCCACAACCCATTGTCACCAGCTTATGACAACAATGATAATGGAACAATGAGTTTTCTTTGCCGCGACAATCGAAAATATCCGCTCTTTGATCGTTTGGCTTTGAATCATTCAATACGTGCGATGCTTCAAAACCGGGCGACTTCCCGCTCTATTCAATGAAAGTTTTTGGACCAAACGACGTTATTCACGCAGCACCGACTTTCGCTACACTCGCAACACCGCACCCGACCGAACAACCATCGCTGCTAGCCGGCGCTACGATTTGCATTTTACGGCAATTTGGTCTTTGTCCACTGACAGTGGAACGCATCCACATTCTTGTCCCGCTTCAGGAAAACCGCCGTCGATCAAAGCACAGACTCCCCTGAAGGCGCTTTGTTACTCCCAATCTCAACGTCGCGCTGGCCGCGATGCATTCTCTTCACCTTCACCACCACAACAGCATACATGGGCCTGATGCCGGGCACATCATGGCACCTCGCGACCCATTACCCGCGCCCGATCCTCTTCCAAACGCCATTCCGATACCTGCTCCCGTAGGCGACTACGGCACCCAGCTCAACCTCACCACCGCCGCGAATCCTTTCAGCCATGGCTTGACGGGCGTCAACCAGGGCCTGAACTATCTATTCGTCTACACGCTGGTCTTCTCTTTCCTGGTGTTGCTGCTCCTCACCCTCTTCTACCGATGGATGCTCATGGTGAGAGCCCATCTGCGGCATCTGCTCAGCATGGGCCGTGAAGCCGATCAAAGATATTGGATGTACAACCACACACGATTTTGGCCCAGAGTCAAGAAATACCTGCTCTACGCACCACTCTTTCGAAACCGACATAATCAGGAGATCCAACTCTCTCAAGCCGTCACCATTGGCACTTTGCCGTCGCGATACCACACCATTCTTCTCCTTGTGTACTTGGCTTCGAATGCCGCCTATTGCCTGGTTCTGGACTGGAGCCTGGAACACAATGCGGTCATTGCAGAATTGCGAGGAAGATCAGGCGTGCTGGCTGCGCTGAACCTCATACCAACGTTTCTCTTCATGATGCGCAATAATCCTTTAATACCGCTGTTGCGCGTTTCTTACGACACATTCAACCTTCTCCACCGTTGGTGCGGCAGGATGGTCATCTTCGAGAGCATCATCCACACTATCATGTGGGCCGTCAACGCCTATGAAGCTGGCGGATCCAAACAGCTTGGAGTCTCACTGGAGACGTCGCTGAGTTATCGATGGGGCATGGTGGGCACAGCCATCTTTACATTCATCGGAATTGTTTCGGTTGGACCAGTCCGGCATGCTTTCTACGAGACATTCCTCAACGGACATCGAAGTCTGGTTCTGGTCGGAATGATCGGTGTCTATATCCATCTAGATGCGGCCGGGCTACCACCACTACCTATGGTACAAGTCAGTCTTGCATTCTGGGTCTTTGAATGGCTGTGGCGAATCTCGAGGATCATCTACCACAACGCGAGCCGCAAGCGAGGCCTTACTCGGGTCACGGTTGAATGGCTACCAGCGGAAGCATGTCGAGTGACGTTCGAGATCAGGCGGCCTTGGAAATTCACGCCAGGCTGTCACGTTCACGCGTTCATCCCAGCCCTGGCTCTTTGGTCCAGCCACCCGTTCTCAATTGCTTGGGCAGAGAACCGACCCAAGAATCCGCCGATGGAGATCGAAATGGAGAAGCTGGCCCCCGTAGAAATGGCCTTCACCACCGAGTCCGCGCGGAGACCCATGGCAACCTCTCGAGCATCACAATACTCGAGGAAGAGCGTCAGTTTGGCTGCCATGGCCAATGCAGCTGAGGCGGCGCACAAACCGGAAGACAACAATCTGGCGCTGCCCCGCGAATCCGGCGTCACCACAATATCTCTCATCGTACGAGCACGGACAGGGATGACGCGGAAGATGCACGACAAGCTGGTGAAACAAGACAAAAAGCCATTCATCACTTGGGGAGCGATCGAAGGCCCTTATGGAGGACACGATTCGCTCTCGTCGTACGGCACTGTCATTCTCTTCGCTGGCGGCGTTGGCATCACACACATGATTGGACACATCAACCATCTCATGCTCCAGTACCAGACTGGAATGAGCAGTACGCGCAAGATTCTTCTTGTGTGGTCAGTACCCAACACAGAAGCATTGGAATGGGTCCGCGCTTGGATGGACCAGATTCTCAGGATGGAGGGCCGAAGAGAGGTTCTTCGAATCCAGCTGTTTGTGACCAAACCCAGGCATAGGGGCGAAGTCGTCTCCAGCACAGGAAGCGTCCAGATGCTGCCCGGCAGATGCAATCCAGAAACCATCATCAGAAGGGAGGTTCCTGAACGGATAGGATCCATTGGAGTGCAGGTGTGCGGGCCCGGTGCATTCTCAGATGCCGTGAGATCAGCCTGTCGGTCAGTCGTGACTGATTGCTCGCTTGATTTCATCGAGGAGGCGTTCACGTACTAGGCAGCAAATCTTGCGCACCTCGTACCCAGATCACGATGTTTACGGCGGCACTGCTTGTTTTTCAGAAGCGCGATGATACCCCCACTGCATAGCGGAAAATTGTACATAGACTTGCATGATCGAAAGAAGTTCCATTGTGTTGAGAAAATACACGTACCCGTTTCCTATAACTTGTAAGTTTACCTTATATCCAAGGGACCTGTAGAGTCTCCCCGTTTGGCATCAACACCATTGCTTGCAAGAGCGTCAAGACGGCATGGTCAGACTTCGATTCTCGGGGATGCCGTGGCCTTTATGTTCTCGTAGCCGTTGTGCGTAGCAGATATTGTGTGGAGGTGATGTCAGATTCAAGCTTCGCTGCCCTGCAGGCGCTCTGGCGTTGCCGAATCATCATGTGTCGCAGATATCGGCCAGCCAGGCACAGGGCACGAGGGGCGGGCGACTGATCTTCAATCGATGCATTCGCTTCTTCCTTCTCCTGTCGACGTTGCATCGTACTGTTCGGCCCTTACATGCGCGCGCTCGTATCGCCACAGAGCTTGCGCCGCTTGACGTTCCCTCGTATTCGCGCCAAGCCATCGACGTCTGCTGGCGCGAAGACGACGTGTATCTCGTGCGGCCACCCAGGCGCTGCGACTCCCCGGCGGATGGCATGATACAACCTGAACAGACATGGCGGACGGCAATCTGGAGCTGCAGGCGCGACTGCAGCAGCTCGACCATGAGCTGGAAGAGGGCGACATCACACAGAAAGGATACGAGAAGAGGCGAACGATGATCCTGTCGCAGTACTTGACCAAGGGACAACTGGAACAGGCGGGCCTGAACGTCAATGATGGAGGGAGCATGTACTCGGCCGAGGGCAATGGGCATGGCAGAATGAGCAGCTATGGCAGTATACCGGCAGGTCCATTCACGCAAGACTACAGTTCATACAGCGAGGGACAGCATGGCCAGCACGAGGAGGGACAGATGCCAGGAGCATTGACGCCGGGATATGGCGGCCCTCCAAGTCAGGTTGCGAGGTTTCAAGAGCAGCAGTTGGGTATGCGGCCACCGGGACAACGGGAGTCGACGATTGGAAGCGGCTTGCGACCTGTCACGCCAGAGCGACCCGAGAGTAGCCAGGGCAGCAGGTACAGCTCTTCAAATCCAGGGACGATGGTCAACTCGGACTATGCCTTCAACCCAGAACAGAAATCACCGGGCGGTCAAGGGTGGGCCACACCCGAGCCATCCAGCCGGATGAGCACGATGCTGGACTCTCAGCAGGGCTATTTTTCCGACTTTACTGGCCAGCAGATGGAGGACCATAGGCCTCGCGAGAGCTATGGCGGACCTCAACGATATAGCATGGGAGAGGCGTTTTCTCCTACTGCCATGATCCCACCTCCTCTCGCACGCGATGACCTACCTATTACACATATACACCAACTTCCCCTCGAACCTCGTGATGTTCCGTTCGCCGTATACGATCCGCACAACAACAACATTCCCATGTCCAAGTTTGATAACATTGGAGCTGTACTTCGACATCGGGGGAAGATGCAGGCGAGGCAGCCGGCGTATTGGGTGCTGGACCCCAAGGGCAAAGAGACGGCTTCGATCACATGGGATAAATTCACGTCTCGGGCTGAGAAAGTTGCGCAAGTCATCAGGGACAAGTCGAATCTATATCGTGGGGATCGCGTGGCTCTGGTCTATCGCGACACGGAGATCATTGAGTTTGCGATTGCGTTGATGGGCTGCTTCATCGCGGGCGTAGTGGCAGTGCCAATCAACAATGTCAACGACTATCAGAAGTTGTCATTGCTTCTCACGACGACCCAGGCGCATCTTGCTCTGACGACTGACAACAACCTGAAAGCTTTCTCACGAGATATTTCAAACCAGCGACTAAAATGGCCGACGGGCGTGGAATGGTGGAAGACGAATGAATTCGGTTCATACCACCCGAAGAAAAAGGACACCGATACGCCTCTTCAAGTACCGGATCTGGCCTACATAGAGTTTTCGCGAGCACCGACAGGCGATCTTCGAGGTGTCGTGCTGTCTCACAGAACGATCATGCACCAAATGGCCTGTCTTTCCGCCATGGTCTCGACAATACCGGTCTCAGAGCACGTTGACACGTTCTCCTCTACACTTCGAGCGTCTGATGGGACATTTGTGGTGCCTCGACAGGGCAGACACGAAATCATCATGTCTTACCTTGACCCTAGAGAAAGCTGTGGCTTGATCTTGGGTGTACTTCTGGGTGTATATGGAGGTCATACAACAGTATGGTTTGAAAGCAAGACTGTGGATACTCCTGGAATGTACGCCCATCTCATATCGAAGTACCGAGCGACTGTCATGGTGGCAGATTATCCTGGACTGAAGCGCGCGGCGTACAATTACCAACAGGACCCCATGGCAACGCGAAACTTCAAGAAGAACATGGAGCCGAACTTTGCATCTGTCAAGATCTGTCTCATCGACACATTGACTGTGGACGCGGAGTTTCATGAGATCCTGGCTGATCGATGGCTAAAGCCCATGCGCAATCCTCGAGCAAGAGACCTGGTGGCACCGATGCTTGCCCTTCCCGAGCATGGTGGTATGATCATATCGGTGCGCGACTGGCTCGGCGGCGAGGAACGTATGGGTTGTCCACTTACCATCCAAGAGAACGAGGAGGATAGTGACGATGGCGGGAATAGTAGTCCTACAACCGCGAATGGCTACACGAGCCTGCTGGACGGTACTAACAGCGAAAAGAAGAAGCAAAAAGCACGCAAGCGGCATAGATCAGAACTGAGCGAGGTCTTGCTTGACAAGGAAAGTCTGAAGACCAATGAGGTTGTTATTATCGCCATGGGAGAAGACGCACGAAAACGAGCAAACGAGCCAGGAACTGTGAGAGCAGGTGCTTTTGGATACCCCATCCCTGACGCTACACTGGCCTTGGTCGATCCCGAGACGAACCTGCTTTGCGCGCCGTACACGGTTGGAGAGATCTGGGTTGATTCTCCTTCGCTCTCGGGTGGCTTCTGGGCATTGCCAAAACACACGGAGACCATTTTCCACGCCCGCCCGTATCGATTTGTGGAAGGTAGTCCCACCCCGGTCTTGGTCGAGCCTGAGTTCCTTAGGACTGGATTGCTAGGCTGCATCATCGAGGGCAAGATTTTCGTCCTAGGGTTGTATGAAGACCGGATACGACAACGGGTTGAGTGGGTCGAACATGGATCTCATGAGGTGGAGCATCGATACTTCTTTGTGCAGCACCTTGTCGCCAGCGTGATGAAGACAGTACCGAAGATCTACGACTGCTCTGCCTTTGATGCGCATGTGAATGGAGAGTACCTACCTATCATCCTGATCGAGACCCAAGCAGCCAGTACTGCGCCGACGACGACAGGCGGACCACCCCGTCAGCTGGATATACCCTTTCTGGACTCGCTCAGTGAACGAGTGATGGAGGTGCTGTATCAAGAGCACCATCTCCGCGTTTACTGTGTGATGATGACAGCGCCGAACACACTGCCACGAGTCGTGAAGAACGGCCGACGAGAAATAGGAAACATGCTTTGTCGGAAAGAGTTCGATAACGGCAATCTGCCCTGCGTACACGTCAAGTTTGGCGTCGAACGGGCAGTGCAGAATCTACCTCTTGGAGATGATCCTGCTGGTGGTGTGTGGTCGCCGATGTCCAGCCAGGTTCGACAAGACATGCTGGCTATGCATTCTGACAAGCAATACTCGGGTGTTGATCACAGAGAAGTGGTCATCGACGATCGAACGAGTACACCTCTGAACCAGTTCAGCAATATCCACGACCTGATGCAGTGGAGGGTATCCAGACAATCCGACGAACTTTCTTACTGCACCATCGATGGCAGAGGCCGCGAAGGCAAAGGCATCAACTGGAAGAAATTCGACCTGAAGGTTGCCGGCGTGGCCATGTACCTCAAAAACAAGGCGAAGGTCAAGCCAGGCGATCATGTTATGCTCATGTACACGCACTCGGAGGACTTCGTCTTCGCCGTCCACGCCTGCATATGCCTCGGAGCTGTCGCCGTGCCCATGGCCCCGATCGACTCGAACAGACTTAGTGAGGATGTTCCAGCTTTGCTCACCATGATTGCAGACTTCAGAATCCGCGCCATCCTCGTCAACGCCGATGTCGACGCGCTTATCAAGCAGAAGGCAGTATCTCAGCATCTGAAGCAGTCAGCGCTGATATTGAAGGTTTCCATGCCATCGGTTTACAACACGACCAAGCCGCCGAAACAGTCTCATGGGTGTAGGGAACTCGGACTGACGATTCGGCCGGCTTGGATCGCTCCGGGGTATCCTGTGGTTATTTGGACGTACTGGTCGCCGGATCAGAGACGGATTGCGGTGCAGCTTGGGCATAATACACTCATGGCTCTTTGCAAGGTCCAAAAGGAGACATGCCAGATGACTTCCACGCGCCCTGTGCTTGGATGCGTCCGAAGTACTATGGGGATTGGCTTCTTGCACACCTGTCTGATGGGCGTGTTCCTGGCTACTCCGACTTATCTGGTCTCGCCGGTTGACTTTGCTGGCAACCCGAATGTCTTGTTCCAAACTCTTGCGCGATACAAGATCAAAGATACATACGCGACAAGCCAGATGTTGGATCATGCCATTGCACATGGCGCAGGAAAGGGCGTACAGCTGCACGAGCTGAAGAACCTAATGATCTCAACCGATCAAAGACCCAAGGCTGATGTCTACCCACGGGTACGGCAGGCGTTCGCGCACTCCGCTCTCGATCGAACAGCGATCAACACCATCTACAGCCATGTGCTCAACCCGATGGTCGCCAGTCGCAGCTACATGTGCATTGAGCCGATCGAGCTGTACCTCGAACCTACTGCTCTTCGACGAGGGCTCATCGTGCCTGTGGATCCAGATACAGAGCCGTTTGCACTGCTTGTGCAAGATTCAGGTATGGTACCCGTCAGCACGCAAATAAGCATCGTCAACCCTGAGACAAATCGACTCTGTCTTGTCGGAGAGTACGGTGAGATCTGGGTACAGTCAGAAGCCAATGCGCACGCATTCTATGGCACGAAGGATGCGTTCGATGCGGAGAGGTTCAACGGACGGACTGTCGATGGCGACCCTGGCGTACGATATGTCCGCACAGGCGATCTTGGTTTCTTGCATAGTGTCAGCCGGCCTATTGGGCCTGGTGGCAACTTGGTGGAGATGCAAGTTCTGTTTGTGTTGGGCGGGATTGGCGAGACGTTTGAGGTCAATGGGCTTCAGCATTTTCCGATGGACGTTGAGGCGAGCGTGGAGAAATGTCATCGGGCGCTCGTGAGGGGTGGATGGTAAGTTGCTGAATGAACTTCGAGTGGGAATTCTTACTGACATCTTGGTAGTGCCATCTTCCAGGCTGGCTCCCTCCTCGTTCTCATTGCTGAAGTGAGAACACGAGCATTCCTTGCCTCGCTGGTCCCAATCATTGTCAACACTGTCCTCAACGAACATCAATTGGTCCTCGACATCGTTGCCTTCGTAGCGCTAGGCGATTTCCCACGATCTAGATTGGGAGAGAAGCAACGCGGCAAGATTCTCGCCAGCTGGGTCAGCAGGAAGATGCGAACAATCGCCCAATTCAGCATACGAGATCCCGATGCCGAAGGCAGCGTAGGCACCGTCGTCCCCGAAGAAGCCCTGCAAAGAAGAGGCAGCGGCCAAAGCGGAGCCGTCGGCGGACCCAGCAGTCTCCGCAGAGGCGAGAGCGCCCTCCGCCACTTGGAGAGCATAACCCACCTCCCCGTCGCCGAAGAACACCCTCACATGGAAGGCGACCCGCTCACCATCGACACCCGCTCCAAAGCCCCCACCATCGCCGAAACCGTCTACCCCGAACAAGGCCACCGCAACGACGACACCCCCACCAACGAAACCCCTCGCCCCTTGAACCTCAACACGAGCTTGGACTACTCCCCCGCCGCGCAATACGCCGACGTCGTGGAGGACTACCACCACCCTCGCGCGAACTGGGACGACTATGGGCAGTATGACGAGCACAGCCAACCGGCGCATGGATACCCTGATTATCCCGCTCAAGGCGGCACGCAGCTGGGCTATACACCCGCCGCGGACGACTCGCCGATCGATATGCCTGCGCCGCTGGGCGGGCTGAGGGTTATGAATCGGACTAGTGCGGCGGAGGATGATTGGGGGGAGGATGCGTTGAGGCAGTTGAATCTTGGGAAGTGATTGCGAAGTGAAGGTGGTGTGTACTTCTTTCGGGTTTCGCAGTGCATGAGCATAGCGTTTGTATAGCATTGGAGGGCGGGGAGATTTTGGCTTGTATGTGTTTGCAAGGTTGAGAGGCGTGACACGTTCACCGTGCCGTCTCAAACAGCATGGCGATGCGATACGACGAACGAACGAAAAAGATACCTCTTTTGTTGTTGGATTTTTTGGATATGTGATGAACGAATTGGTCATGCTGGGCTTTGCCTTGGTTCTCGTCCTGCCTCAAGCTGTGCTGCCTCGAGTGAGACGCCAGAACGCCCATTCTTTGAACTAGTCACTCTCATATCCCTCAATCATACCTATCTACTTCACAATCGTCCGCCCCGTAGTCGTCCGCCCCGTAGTCGTCCGCCCCGTAGTCATCAGCTCCGTGGTCGTCAGCCTCGTTGTCGTCCCTCCTATCATCGTTTGCTTCACGGTACTCCTGGAGCTCATACTCTTGGGGCTCGTACTCCTGGGGTTCATACTCCTGCTGCTCACAATCCTGCCCGTCATACTCCTCCCTCCCACCCCCCTCCCTCTCATACTCCTCTCTCGCCCTCGCAACACGTTCCTCATGCTCATGCTCTCTCATCTCATTAAGAATCTGCTTGCTCTCCTGTACATCCTCATCATTCCACACTGCGACAGGCACTGTTAGCATGCGTTCTCTCAATCGTTACGATCAGAAGGGAGACGTACTCTTGTGGCCATAGGAGTGCATGAAGTTCTGACGTCCGCCGTAGTCCTTGGTGATCTCGTAGTTGGAAGGGTATGGGACGGAGGATGGGTCGAATGGTGGGCGGTCGTTTGTGGAGGTTTCGTTGGCGGATGTGGTGCTGGAGGTTGCTTTGTTGGTATAGGTATTGGATGGGGCGTTGTTGGTGGTTTCGTCGGGCATGATGGCCTGGAGGTTGTATGGTAGTGTCTGGAAAGTTGCCTGATGAGCAGAAGATAAAGAAGAAGCAAGGGAAGATTGAGAGATGCACTTTTTATCAATCACTGCAGCAAAGTGCGGTGAAACAACAACAAACTCTCCCCATCGTTTGCGTGCATGGCAAGGTCCAGGGCACGATGAGTCTGGAAGCAGCTTCCCGGAAATGTGGTCAAAGAAAAGTACAATCCAGAGTGTGCGATGCCAACTCCGTATCATTTTCTCATCACTTCCAGCTCCTGAAGTCCCCCTGAATTTCCCACTTCTTCGCCAACAACCACGAAACCCCATCCAACACGATCAACCTCAACCCTTCTTCTCATACTCCTCCCTCGCTCTATCAACGCGATTCTCAAACTCCTCCTTCTTGATCTCCTCCAAAATCTGCTTGCTGTACTCGAAGTCCTCGTCGTCATACACTATAACAAATACTATCAGATCTCCATCCCTTTTCTTGTCACAGTGGAGGTACTTACTGTTCAAATTGTAAGTGAGCATGAAGTAGTAGTGTCCGCCATAGGACTTTGTGCAGCTAGGGGTACTCCACCACTTGGAAAATGACTCTGCAAGCAGCCACCCGTGATTCTGGGCAATATGAGCCGCAATTCAGAAATGACCAGGGAGCATGCAAGTAAGTCATGCTGCAACTCTGTTTGCTGAAATGAATCACCCGTACCTCTCCACCATCCCGCATCAAAGGCTCTGTTCGCGAAGCTTATCCAATGCCCGGTAACTCATCCACCCCTCTTATACTCCTCCCTCGCCCTCGCAACGCGTTCCTGATACTCGCATTCCTGGAGTCCCTCTAAAATCCTCTTGCTCTCGTCGAAATCGTCCTGGTTGTGCACTGTTCCCTCATCAGCCATCCATGAATACTTCCCACGCGCCGGTGCAAACGTACTCTTCAAGCCGTAAGAGAGCATGAAGTGGTAATGACCGCCATAGGGCCTGGTGATGTCGTTGTTGGTTGGGTACGGGACCGAAGATGGGTCGAAGGTTGTGTTTGAGTTTGAGTTCTTGTTGGAGTTCCCAGCTTGGATCGACGAGCCGTTGGAAGACATTTTGCTCGATTGGCTGATTTCGTTGTCTTGTGTTTGGCGGGTTGTTTGCCGAGTCAAAGGTAGGAGAGGATTGAGAAGGCGATGGGACACTGAGCTTCTAGTTCGCTGCGACGAGGGAAGAAGGTTCAACGGATGTGGTTGCTGCCTGAGGTTTATTTCGATGTGAATGGAAGGTAGAACTCTGGCCAAGGTCTAGGGAGCGGCAGTAAAGAACGACTCGAAATCATTTCATGTGCACGTGGAAAGACAACAAGGTAGGAAATATCGATCAAACCGAGCCAAGATTAAATGAGCCTTTCATATTTTCATATCTGTCGTACTTTCCCTCAGCGACCGTCACATCGTCGCTGTGTATGCAAAGCAGCAGGTTAGATCTGTGGTATCTATGCAAGCAGCAAGAAAAAAGCAAACACTCTGTGCCATCCAAAAACGAACAGGCGACCTTGCACCTATTTAACAACGCCACGCCATATGCAAGTAAGCTTCCGCTAATCAAGAATCGAAGATAAGTCCACACATGCTGCTTGATGAGATGTGCTATGAGTAGAACCAATACTCGGCGCTGTACTCAATCTGGAAGGCTGCTTGCTGGCCCTGACAGGTCTTGGGCGGGTTACCGCCGGCGGTGTTGATGCGGTAGACTTCTTGGAAGACGCATTCGTCCTTGGTCTTGGCTTGGAGTTTCAACCACGGGACGGAGCCGTAGCCTTGACCATGCTGGCCTTTGACGGCCGTGGAAGGGGCATCAGAGGAGTTGGTCTTCTTGAAGCCTCCTGCGCCGTAGGTGCTTAGCGTGGTGTCGAGGTTGAAGAAAGCGGTCGTGAGGTCGGTGAAGTAGTGGTGACCTGAGATGTCGCGGTTGATGGGGCTCGTCGCGTCGGTGGCGGTGGGTGTGGGGAGTTCGAGGGCGATGTTGGGGATGGCGGAGAGGAGAGTTGGGCTGTCTGCAGACATGCAGGTGACGTTGAAGAGCGAGGCAACGGCGCCAGCTGCGATGGGGATGGCTGTTGAGTTGCTTAGGTCGCAGGTGTAGTTCTGGGTTCCTCGGCCGACGGCAACGTGGTATAATGTGAGGCCTTCTGATGGGGGCGGTAAGGGCTTCGGTGCTAAGGAGATCGTTAGTCGGATGGATCTTGCTAGATGGGATGTTGTATCATCTCACCTTGAGGCATCTGCACTGCAGCGACGTTACATTGGCCCTGAGTCGTCGTTCGCCCTCTCCAAGAATGTCTCTTGCCAAAGTCTAGAAACGATTCGAGAACGTCCGAGTTTGATCCTTGGCCCCATCCGCCGAACCATCGCTTCTCATAAGGCGCAGCAGCAACAACAGTCGACAAGGCGAACAGCAGACTCGCCCGTGAGAAGAGCATCTTGATTGTATGTGTGGTGTATCGTTGCTTCGGATCGTTGGTTATCGTCGAAGATCGTTGGTCGTCGTTGATCAACAACCTCAAAGCTCAGCCTTGTCGACAGAAGATTGTTGGTGTAAACGTAGACGCAATGCAGTCGTGAGGTGGAATACTTATTGATCGCTCCCTCAGGCGCGTCGCTGCAGTTTCTATATACATGGCTGACATTGTACAACCGTGAGGTACATTGACCTGCACCGTTAGCCGCCCGACATGGAAATAGAACGTTAAGTGTGGAGAACTCTGACTGCGGAAGGGTTCGTGCGTCGGCGGCCACCCAGCAGATTGGAATTTGGCGCTAGACCAGGTGCTGTTCCTGCAACTGTCCCACGCGACACCCAAGAACGGCAACACGTTTGCCAGCCTTCCTTCATTGCGTACGCCGAATGACTGAACAGTTGGACGCTTACACCTCCTTCATGCCAGTATATCCATCTTCGACGTCAGGCCAGCCTCCGCATCGTCAGCAAGTTGGTCGGTGAATATCCATGTCCATGTCCACCAGAGCCAGAGCTGTCGCCTCGAACTTTGGGACGCCTCCATCGCTGCACGGCAGATCTGCAAGACGTGCATTTAGTCTGCGACGAGAAAAGCAGCATAATTTCCTCCATCTGGACGCTTCGACGTTCTATTGTTGGCAAATTACCCGGCCATCTCTCCACGCCAGCGTCGCAGCCAGACCAGTAACATCCACTTTGGCGCTTACGCTCGGCGGCGAGGCGGGAATGGCTGGCTCTGAGCTCCCAGCCGATTTGACGCCCCATCTGTACTCCGACAGCGTTTCAGAGACTGCCGTACAACCAACTGCCAAACGGGCCGCCGCATGAATTGCGTTACGTCGAGGTCTGCAGCCAATGGCGAGCGCGAAGCGAGCTTTGGAGGCCGGTAGTAAACTTGTGTCGATTACGCGCTGGATCTAACGAAGAAGATGTCTGGGCCGTGCCATGGATATACCAGACCGTTCAATCTCGACGTGTCGTGCGCAAAGGCAACGCGAGGCCCAGACATGGAGGAATTGGCATTAATTGCTCGCTTTTGGTCGCGCGAGTGGCAAACCTCTGGAGATGGCGGATGGGGACCTCTTCGATATTGCTGTCTTAGCCCTCGTGACACCAGCGCTTCCGGATGGAACGGCAGGCCAAAGCTCTCTCGTTGCGAACAGCAAGCAGGCTTGGAAGAAATGGACGCGTTTCTTCTCCGAGGACCATGTGGAAATCAGCTGCTGCATTGGGTACCAAAGATGGCTTCCGTGGAAATGTGACGTCTGCTTTGGTGCGAGATCATATCCATTCGATGTGGTTGGACCGCAGTGCGGTCAGCGGCGGTGACCTTTGACGTCTCTCTGTTGCAGCATCGACCCAAACTGCTCAAGACGATGCGAAAGCCGGAAGAGATCATGATCAGGCTCGTCTTCTCGGAGATGGATCGACAGTTTGCCAATGGTGTCTTCGCTCGTGCTGACGTGGTGCCATTGCGGTGTGAGGTATTGTTGAGCGCTTCGAAGCTGTGACTTGAAATAGACACCTTCTGCTTTGCCGGCGTGGTTTTCAGTCTGATTGCAATTCAACGGCCTCACGAGCTATCAGCCTTGAAGCCCTCCTGCTTCCAATCGCCATGATCTGCCGCGCCTCCACCAGCAGCATTGGCAGCAGCGGCGGCGGCTCCTGATCCAGCTACACTGGCGCTCAAATTGCTTGCGTGTTTCTCGATGTCCACGGACCCCATCCAATAAAGCATGAAGAACACCAGCAGATGCAAAGCCAAGCAGTACAAAGCAAATAGATTCCTGCTCGTGCGTGTGGCCAAGACCATGCGCGTAATCTGGAAGACCGCTCGCTCGGGTAGGCTCATTCGTTTCAGTGCCCTGGCGGACTCGCGCCCACGGAAGGCCGCAAAGGGGGATATGTTTTGCTCGTAAGCAGATCGATATCGGTCAAGTGACAGGCCTGATGGTGTGTCTGCCGAGCCGACTTGAACAGTCGAGGGATTCGGGTTGGACCCGTACGCTGCGCCAGAGGTCGTTGGCTGGCCTCTATTGTAAGTGGACACATAGCGTGTCTTCTCGTACAAGTTGAGGTTGTCCTTTTGCAGTGACGCGATCTCAGATCGAAGCGACGACACAGTCTGATACTGCTTTTGCAGCTCTTGCTCGAGCTCGCCGATCTTCTTCTTGAAGCGATCGCGCTGAGCAGTCACCATTGGCAGGATCCCCGACCCTCCACCCACTGGCTCTCCGGCTCGCAGAGACTCGAGAGTCGCCCTTGGTGTTCCTGGGCCAGAAGACGAGGGGTCGAAGCCTCCAATGATGGATGATGTTGGAGACGCACCTCCTCCTCGTCGGCTGCCATATTGTGACTTGGGGTACCGCGACGTGTATGTACCTGCCACAGACATGGTTTCGAAAGCGTTGGACGCTTCTTGTTGCGTCTTTTGGAGGTCGTTCTCCAATGTCGCGTTGAGATTACGCGCCTTCTCAAGCTCCATGTTTGTGCTTGAGAGGTCTTCTTGCAGCTGCTCCAACCTCCTCTGCAGCTCTTGGTGAGACACCCGAAGCTCAGTCAACTCATTGCTCAACTTCTTGTTCCTTGCGACCAGTAATTGTTCCAGCGACTCCTTGCCAGCCGAGCCATGCGCATGACTTGCATCCTCAGTTTCAGCGTCTTGATCTTCGACGCTTGCAAACTCGATGGCCCGTAGCATCTCAAGCTCACGCTTCACTTCGTCGTAATCGCCCCATTTCTGGACTTTGGCTTGGAGAGCATCTCGATCGGCTTTCAGCGACGAAATGTCTCGCTCAACACTGCGAAGCTTGTTTTGACGATCGACCTTTTCTTTGTCCTTGTCGTGTCGCGCCGAGTCAAGTCTTCGAAGGAGAGATGAGTTCTCAGAGCGGAGACGCAAGAATGCAGGATCGTCTTCTACTGCCGTGCTCCGCGCTGAACTGTTGGACTGACTTGTGGATTGGGCGAGCTCTAATCGCAGTTGCTCGTTTCTGCCCTCAACTTCAGCAAGCCGCATGTTGGTCCTTTCAAGCTCCGAATTGACGATCTCCAGCTCAGCGGCCGACGCGCTATTACGGCCCATGTCGTGTGTATCTTCGCCAGACTTTTCCAGCCGCTGAGATACCTCGTAGCTGGCTTTGAGCTCCTTGAGCAGTCTATCCTGGTTCTCAACTTTCTCTTCCAGACTGTGTTCCTTGGAAGTCCAGTTGTCTTCCTTCTCCTTCAAAACGGCAGACCAAGATTCTTCGACCTCTTTGATGCGAGAGTCTTGCGAGCCCTCAAACGATTGCCTCTTAGTCCGCTCTTGCTCCAACTCCGTCTCTGTCTCTTCAAGCTGTTCGTTCAGCTTCGACACCTGCTTGTGTAACCTCTCATTTTCAGACTCCAGCTTTGGCACGACCTCATCCGCCGTGACCAGCGAATCGATAGACGCCTCCAGTAATGGGTATGGATCGGGTGCTTCTGATAAAGGAGAGTAGGCCTGCATGAAAGCTGCCGACACAGCCTTGTTATGGTTAGTGAGAACATCAATGTAGCCCTGATATGCTTTGAGGAGGTCCTTGATCTCTGACAGCTTGCCCGAGTCGTCCAGCTTGCGGAAGTCTTTGGTCTTTTGAGCGAGCTCTTTACGTTGTACCAATGAGTCTTTCTGCTGGTCCACCATCTCAGAGGCAGTGGTATCCAGGTTTGACACGAGCTTGGTCAAGTCCAGCGAGCGCCATGCTGCCACCGCCTGCTGGAACTTGTTGCCAGCGTCGGTCGAGCCTCGCCCTTCTGCATTGCCGTTCTCGTGTGTATCTGATCCCACATCGTCCTGGCCATCTTCGGCACCCTCCATCACATCGTGTTCGTCTATCGTTCCGACCATGGTGGCTACTATCGCATCCCTCTCCGTCGTCAGACGCGCGTCCAGGCTACCAGTGCTTCGTTCTGTGTGAGGGTGCCCGCGGTTTCAATGGGGATAATGGTATTTATTGCGCTCCGTCTTATCAGAATCGGTTCCAGCCTCGTCTCTCGGTGCCTCGGCGATGGGTGTTATGCAGGGTGTCAATGGGAAGGTGCTGGGATGCGGAGAGAGCACGGAGGTGACGAGCTGTGGCTGGTGAGGCGCAGGAGCATGTGAAGGCTGCCGTTTTGGACTTCAACAATTGTGTTACAACAACGTACATTATACCACGATGCGATGATCTCTCAGACCAGGCTGCTATGGAATCTGCGGACAGTTCCAATGCAGCCATCTCCTACACCCAGGATGGCGCACCGGGATCCTACTCTCTGCGCGAGCTGATCAGAGACGTGCCGCTGTCGACCGATGACGACGGCGTCCGAGCACACATTACCTGTGCCGATACGTGGAATGGCAACCTCTACATTGGCACGTCTTCCGGAGAGGTCTTCCACTACGTCTCTATCCCACCAGATCCATCCGACGAGAGCAGCGGCCCCAGCTACATCTTCGCGACCCGCATCGAACCCGCCTTCACCCACCAACAGCAGGGAGCAGATGCTGGTGTAAAACAGATTCTGCTGCTACCCAATGCTGGCAAAGCATGCATCGTGTGCAACAGCACCCTCACTTTCTACACTCTGCCGGAGCTGAGTCCAGCGTTCGATGGCAGGATCAGGCAAGCAGGATGTCTGTGGGTTGGCGGTCGTGATCGGAACGAGAATGGCGGTGACAATGGCAACACTGGGGGAACAGTGGTGGTGATTTGCTTGAGGCAAAGGCTACGGCTGATCAAGATAGGTGAAGAGGCGCGTAAGATTAGAGACATCGAGCTGGGCGGGGTGTCCACTCTCGAGAGAAGAGGGGATCTCGCATGCGTAGCAGATGGCAACGCCTACTCTTTGCTTGATGTCGTAAATCAGCGTAAGAACGAGCTTTTCCCAATATCATCCTTGAGCGAAATCAGGCCGCCATCGCAGGACATTCTGGCTCCAGCACAGAATCGCCAGGCCTCGAGAAGCTTCTCATCCCACAGTCCGATTCGTCAAGGTCGAGGCCATCAGCGGAATATCAGTCTAGGTGGCCAACCGCAGAGCAGGGACCGCTTGCACCCAGACAGCAGTTCGCCATGGCCAGCGAGGAGCTCATCCCGTGTGATCGAGCCCGCCGAGTCTCCTGCTCCTTCAAGTCGAGAGGAGAGCCCGACTAAGCCTGACGCAACGACTACTTCAGCGGCCAGTGAAGGTTCTCAGACTGCCTCCACACAGCAGCCGCCCAAACAGACACTCCCGCCGAACATAGTCTCGCCTACTGCCAACGAGTTTCTCCTGACGACAGGCACAAAGATGACAGATCCTGGTGTTGGCATGTTTGTGAATCTAGACGGCGATGTGGTGCGTGGAACCATTGAATTCAGCAGCTATCCTGAGTCGCTTGTTCTGGACGGTGCTTCAAGTGCAGAAGTTCTGCCATCTCCAGATGGGACCCCACAAGAAGGTCACGTGCTTGCTGTGGTACGGAAATCGCGTGGAGAAACTGCCGAAAGATGTGTAGAAATCCAAAGATGGGATGCGGATCCTGGCGAGGCTCACAGGACCAAAGAATGGTTGACACTTGCGTCAGCGAGTACTGCATCAGAGGACGGCTTTGCTAGAGGCACTGGACTTCGCACTGCATCAACGGCAGCTGATCTCGCCGTCGGTGACGTCTCCTCAAGCCTACGACTAAGGCGGCTCAAGCTTCAGCAGCAGCTCGAAGACAGCCTCGAGACTAAACGAAACGAAGAGGAGGACAAGTTGGCATCTCGTTTTGCTCAGATGCAAGCAAATGTACTGCTTTTCGCTGACGACAAGGTATCTTGGGTTGTGCGTAACCCGCTCATATCCCAGCTCGACCAGCAACTCAACCAAGCTGTACAACAGACCAGCGACAGTGGTTTGTCCATTGAAGTACCGGTGGTACAACGCGTCGTCAACAGCATCCGTGGTCAAGAACCACGGAACGAATTGGAGTTCCTAACGTTGACCTACATCAGGCAGAAAGCTGCTTTGCTGCTATTCGGGAATTTGGTCCTCCAAACGATCAATGGGGTCATCTCATATGAGCACGACAAGCGTCGAGCAGAAGATGCACTCGTGTCGGGGGAGATAGACCCTCGAATCGTTCTAACCATCGTTCCTCCTCTCGATCAGGAGATTGCAGAGGGCAGCAGTGGTATATGGCTTCCTCAAGGGATTAGAGATACCGTCGAGAAGCTACGGCAGAGCTTCGATCGAGAGAACATTTCTCGAGATGTCAAGGGACCTTATGGCGACAACCTGCTCAACCTGGTGAAGCGATATCTGATGGTGTGGCGCAAGAAAAAGGGGTTTGGCAGCGTCGCAGACGAAGCATCTGTTTTCAAAACTGTCGATGCCGCCCTCCTTCACGTCTTGCTCATGCTAGATCAGAACAGCCCTCGCGGGCCAGCCACCGCGGGATCCGTGAGAGCGGAGCTTAACGAGGTCGTAGATAAAGGGGTGGACTGCTTTGATCGAGCCATTGAGCTTTTTGAGCAGTATCATCGGCTCTTCATGCTCAGTCGTCTGTATCAAAGTCGCAAGATTCCGTCCCAAGTTCTGGCAACCTGGCGGCGCATCTTAGAAGGCGAGAAGGACACAGGCGGTGAGCTGATCGAAGGCGAGCAGAGTGTTCGCCAGTACCTCAGCAAGATCAGGGATCAAGCGCTTGTGCAAGACTACGGATCATGGCTCGCGCATAGGAACCCGAAGCTCGGCGTCCAGGTCTTCGCCGATGACAGCAGTCGAGTCAAGTTTCAACCTACGGAAGCTGTGGCTATCCTCAAAGAGCGAGCTCCTGGTGCTGTGAAGGACTACCTGGAGCATCTTGTCTTTGGCAAGAACCACGTCCAATATGTCAACGATCTGATCGCTTTCTACTTGGACACAGTGCTCACTGAGCTGAAAGACTCGGAAGAGTCCCGAAACACCCTCTTACAATCCTACGAGACGTACAGAGCGCTCCATCCACCAAAGCCGACGTATCGCCAATTCATCACCGACAACGCCATTGACGCGGAATGGTGGCGGAATCGTCTACGACTATTGCAGCTCATAGGTGGAAGTCACGGCGCCGCATCAAAGTACGATGTCCATACGCTTGGCGAGCGTCTGGCTCCCTTCAGCAATGAGCTGGTGCCCGAGATGATCATCCTCAACGGACGAGAGGGCAAACACGAAGAAGCTCTGAGGCTGCTCACCCACGGACTTGGAGACTACGACACGGCGATCCGCTACTGCTTGTTAGGGGGCTCGAGCATTTTCCACCCTGGCTCTGGGCTAGCACCAGAGCAGCCTCTGCCTACCAAAGAGGAGCAATCACAGCTATTCGAGTACTTGCTGAATGAGTGCTTCAAGATCGAAGACCTCAGCGAGCGTCTGGAGCGAACGGCGGAACTACTCGAGCGGTTCGGCGGCTGGTTCGACGTCGCGAAGGTCCTCGATCTGATCCCTGATTCATGGTCTGTGGAACTTGTCGTGGGTTTCTTGGTGCATGCATTCCGAAGGCTGGTGAGGGAGAAAAACGAGACCGTCGTTATGAAGGCTTTGAGCAGCGCGCAGAATCTCAGGCAGAGCGTGGAGTTCATTGAGAAGATCGAGGGGATAGGACCTACGGTGGTGAATGCTGAGGTCGATGTGGAGGGATCATGAAGAAGAATCGAGTTGGAAAAGCGAATGAATAAGATGACATTGAGCTACACCAAACTTTCCAAGCCTGCTCGACTGAGGGATTCACTCTTACGGCGATCCGTCGTCGCAGTAGTACTCGCCCTGTCGAGACATCAGCCTTGGTCAGGATCCAACGACGGTCAAGCTTCGACTTACGCTATGACCAGCACACATAAGACCGTAGTCGCAGCAGATGGAGCCTGGGTCGACACCACAGCTGTACTGGACGTCGGTGTTGCAGTTGGCTGCCGTGACAATGTTGGCTGACGCCTACCAAAACCGTGAGCTGAGTCAACGACCGTCACATGTCGACTTGTTCTTGAACTCACCAACAGCGCTGCCAACGCCACGAAGAGACTGGAGAAGCTACGCATTTTGGTGAAGATATGATTGATAAAGACACAAATCACTTTTTGCAGTGGAAAAGCAGACCGCATCTTCTATACATACTCCATCTCAACAGAACTAGTTCCTGAAAGCAGCTTCCTGATGGAGTAACCAGCGACGGCGTACCTATCCAATGGGAGAAACACTGTGGAACACATGTTCGTGCTTCAGACGTCGATCTTTCCAAAGCGTCTCGTATAGAGCGGAAAGAGCCTGCTTGTGTAATCGGCAAGCGAGTAGTATTGCTTACATCCTGCGGGACCACTAGGCTGAGTATGAGGGGGGTTGCGAGAGCCGCAGTTGGGAGGAGTTTGTGGTCAGGGGATGGGGGCCATATTGACGTCGGGAATGTGTTAAAAAAGGGATTGATGTACCCTCTTCGGCTTGCTGAGAGTAGAGTGCATGGAACTATGATCTCTCCGAGTTTCCAGAGGTAATCAAAAGCTCCTAATCGCACTTCAGGCCAGTTGAGCAGCTTGCGAGGTCTGGGGACGATTGTTAGACTTCGAGCAGGACATTCAGGATGACTTGTTAGCCATCACCTATTCGTCAATGGATGCTCACGCGATACACCTACTCTATGAGGGTCATGGACCCCAAGCTCTAATCATCAGACCGATGTCCCTGTGAGGCGTCGTGAGACCGAACAGCTAGAACAATGGACACCTTCTCAAATGACACATTGGTGGCTTAGCTGGACTGTAGTCGACTCCTTCAATGGTGGATAACATGATCAAGCGCCACAGCGAATGTACCGACACCTCATATCCATGACCTGACCACTTGGCAATGCGATGTTCTCGATTCGGGCTGGCTGAAGGCGCACAAAGCTGCAAGCCGCATTTCTCTCGCTCCGTCCACCGGTCAAGCAAAAGGAGGGATAAGTTTCCGGTCAAGAAGAAGGCAACATTGACAGCCCTCTGCGACTGGCATGTCGTCAATGCATGTAGCACAAGACGAGTGGTGAGTGAAAGAAGAGAGCAGTGGTCCATGCGGCTGAAGTCAGCCAAGGACGGAGTGTGCCAAGAAGCAGCGACGGGATTGGCTGAGTCCCGTTCGGGAAGCCGCACGTTCATCGTTTCTCAGCCGAGCCTCCGCGAAACTCTATTCCTTTCAGCTAACGACAACAGCTCCAGCAACCAGTTCACTGCCCACTTCTGCATCGCCAGACTGCAGCTGCTGTGCAGCCCAGCGGCCAATTCAGCCCACTCATTGGCGCCACATCTCGGTTTCTGCACGATGCGGCCAAACAGGCGGCCAAATGGACGCCATATTCGGGATTGGCGATCTGGTCTCGGCGGCCTCATCTATTGGCCCCATACCACTAACGCTTCATCATGGCGTTCCTTTCGCGGACACAGCCGCCTGCTAGTCTTCAGCCCTGCTGCTATTTGAGAGCAGTCAAACCTGGATAAGAACATAACTTATTCCTGAGTTCATTCTATGTTGCTAACCAGGTTATAGGACTATCCAGTCTAACTAAAGAAACACGTGATATCGCTCTGCTTTCGCATCTCAGCCTTCCTTCTTTTGATTACAGTCTCTTGCTTGTCAAGAATGCTCACAATCTCTGGCTGTCCATCTACCTGCTGCAACTCATATAGCCTTAGATGTTCAAGGGCCTGAAGAGCTGTATCCCCTGAGATCTTAGGTTGAATATCCTCCTCTTCTGAATCCTCTTG